TTTTAAATAATTAGCAATTTTCTAGGTGTAAACTTTTTTTGACTACATAGCGCACACTCCAATGCATTTGAATGAATATACACTGTTGGTGATAATGGTGGAATATTTATTTTTACCCCAGTTTAGGGAAGGATTTTTAAAAATTATTTATTTCTAATAGATCTAGATAATGGCATACATTCTCAGATTTTATTGAATATTAATTTGCAAGTGTTTGTTTTGCGTGACTGCTTAATCATGTTGTGCTACCATGCTAATCAGCTAAGGGACATACGTCTTTAAGTCATAATTGACAGTAATGAGGATTAATGCCTCACAAAAGGGCACTAATATATAGCTGATCGACACGATTTTTATCCTGGAGCCTCACAGTAACGAGGCCATTGCTTAGCCCCTGAATCATGACTGTACGCAGTGTTTGCTAGGGTACGCGGCCCATTCCTCAAATCCCCCAAAACGAAGAAAATGCAATAAATTGTCAAAAATTCATTGCATTTCCCCCCGGCCCCCAACAGGAAAAATTCCTCTGTAGGGCCATGCATTATTGTTCAAGGCATGGCATCACAGAGGAATTTTTCCTGTTGGGGGCCGGGGGAAAATGCAATGAATTTTTGACAATTTATTGCATTTTCTTCGTTTTGGGGGATTTGTTGGGCTGCCGCGTACCCTAGCAAACACTGCGTACAGTCATGATTCAAGGGCTAAGCAATGGTCTCGTTACTGTGAGGCTTCAGGATAAAAATCGTGTCGATCAGCTATATATTAGTGCCCTTTTGTGAGGCATTAATCCTCATTACTGTCAATTATGACTTAAAGACGTAGGTCCCTTAGCTGATTAGCATAGTAGCACACACATGATTAAGCAGTCACGCAAAACAAACACTTGCAAATTAATATTCAATAAAATCTGAGAATGTATGCCATTATCTAGATCTATTAGAAATAAATAATTGTTAAAAATCCTTCCCTATAAACTGGGGTAAAAATAAATATTCCACCATTATGACTAACAGTGTATATAATACACTCCACATTTGAATGAAGCCTTCTATCCTCACCCCTCTCCCCTCCCTACACACAGGTCATGACACCGGCTGTGTCATATATCAGTAAGATCCGTGTCACAGGTCAGTAATCCACACTTGACCGCACATCCCTTATTACACGTACACATAATCGCATCAACTGAATTTTATACAGCACCGGCAGCCCAACTCATATGTAAGGTAAAACGCTTTGAAATTGCATATTCATTTCTAAGTTTATTCCGAAGTATTTATCGTAATAATTTTTGCTATATTCATGATGCTTGATTATGATTGAGTGATATTAAGTTTGTATGCCATGTATATTTGTTTATACAATGTTTTTGTTTTTGTATGTGTTTGCACTTCAGAACTTGAATAAGGCCTCATAAGCCGAAAGCTCGTAATAAAATTGTAAAGTACAGCTACGTCTCACGTTCCTAGACCATTTTCTCCACGCCTTTATATATATATATATATATATAAGTGCGAAAATTCTCAACTTTGACATGACAACGGGTGTTCCAGAATATGTAGGCGTGGAGAAAATGGTCTAGGTACACATACAGAAACAAATACATAGTATGAACAAATATAAATGGCATACATACTTAATATCACTCAATCATAGTCAAGCATCATGAATATAGCAAAAATTAGTACGAGAAATACTTCGGAATAAACTTAGAAATGATATATATATATATATATATATATCACATACAGGACGCCTCTCAATACCGGACATGTCAAACATGTTTCCATACACGAAAACAGACCATACCAACTTACACCCCAAAAAGGGCCATAAAACAATTGTCCGCATTCAATGGTCAATTAGCAAACCATGTAAGTCTTAATGAAATCAAAATACTCCGGTATTATACATATATTATATCTTCTATCAAACCTGGATTTTTTAAACATTTTAAGCACATTTATGTTTCAACTGAATTCAAAAGGGGCGAAAAGCCATTCGGCTTTAATTGCAATGTTTAACTGGTAGACTTAGGCATGACACTAACAAGTGATTAAGTTGTTACAGCTGCACAAGAGTAAGATACGGTTACATCATGTAGTAATTTCCTAGGGTTGATCCGAAGGTCCGTATTTCCAAAGGTTCATAATAGGAATCATAATTCCGCAAATGAAAAATAATCTAGATGCAGGCCTATTGTTTTTTGGAATTCCGAACCTTTAGAGACTGAAACTTTTTTCTTTTTTTTTCGGAATTATGAACCGCCTGACATGGGAAATTACGAACCCTTGAGTAAACTGATGCCTCCCTAAAGGTCTTTATACCTTTAATAAATTAAGAATCCATGCCATTTATCCAAGTATTTACTTATGAAAGAAATAACACTTGCCATTACCTTGAGCGGTCACAGCAATGGTGAAGCACGAGAGAAGGATGCACAGGTATAACATCATTGCGACTGTTCTGTTTCTTCACAAACCAACAAATGATGGAAACTGCCAGAAGATTATGCTATATAGATGGAATGATGAATAACCGCAAATAATGATGAGTGTGGAATCTATCAACTAAAATTACCTCCGCCGTGTGCAGATTTTTAGCCCCTCCCTTCTTTTGTCTCATTTTCGAACATCTGTTTACGATTAAAAAGTGGTGTCCTTCAAACTTTTCACACTTTCTCAGGTCTGGCGACAAATATCTGTGCATTTGTGCCCAATGGATTGTACACGCAGTGCAACGCACAATAAATGTTACCACTAAAATATCCTGTAGCCGAATGAAAAAGAGAAGGAGAGATGATGTACGAGGTAGAAGGAATATAATGGAAAATGAGACAGAGCGAAAATGATTGGAACGGACAAAAAAGTAAAGAAAAGCAACGTGGGAGGGAATGTGAAAAGAAATATGTGTCTACGAGGAGAAGATTCAGAATGAGAGACGGATTAGAGAGAAAAAGATATTGAGACGAAGGAAACATATATAAAGAGAAGAGTTAGAAATGTTCTATATTTTCTATCATCCAATAGTTCACAACCCCTGCTTCTCAACACCCCCTCCCCTTATGTCTCTCACTCACGGTCAGTTCATATCTCTCAATCACATACTTTGAACTCCTAGATATTATGTCGAAAGTTTCCATCCATCTCCACTCATTAGCAAATTCCTACTGTGAACCCCCCCCCCCCCCCCCGGGTTGTAGTCACATCTCCTTTTTCATTTCCCTGTTTCATCCATTCATAACACATTCCACTTGCTCGCCCTTCCATCACCCTATTTATTCCAGCGTTCCAACAGTAACATCTCCTTTTTCATTTCCATGTTTCATCTATCCTTAACACATTCCACTTCCTCCCCCTTCCATCACCCTATTTATTCCAGACTTCCCTCAGTCACATCCCTTTTTTCATTTCCATGTTTCATCCATCCTTACCACGATTCCACCCAGGCCTCTCCCTTCCTGTTTCATCCATTCTTAACACATTCTACTTCCTCCCCCTTCCATCACCCTATTTATTCCAGACTTCCCTCAGTCACATCCTTTTTTTCATTTCCATGTTTCATCCATCCTTAACACGATTCCATCCCTCTCCTTTCCATTTTCTGACTTTATCCATCTTTAACACGATTTCGGCTCGGTGTAAAAATGTCAGAGGTAAAAATGTCAGAGGAAAAAATGTCAGAGGAAAAAATGTCAGAGGTAAATATGTCAGAGGTAAAAATGTCAGAGGTAAAAATGTCAGAGGAAAACATGTCAGAGGTAAAAATGTCAGAGGTAAAAATGTCAGAGGTAAAAATGTCAGAGGTAAAAATGTCAGAGGAAAAAATGTCAGAGGTAAAAATGTCAGAGGAAAAAATGTCAGAGGTAAAAATGTCAGAGGTAAAAATGTCAGAGGTAAAAATGTTAGAGGTAAAAATGTTAGAGGTATAAAATAAAAACAAAAACATGTGACAAGTTTGTTATGTTTACACCCGGGTTATATATCAGGCTTATCGAAAAAGAACAGCGAGCGATATTCTGCAGTCGTTATTTCATCGCTGTCTTATTGTATTGTATTAGTTAAGTCTTATTTTGTATGGGCGGCCAAAGGGGCCAATATCAACAGTCACAAAAACAAACAAAGATGCATACAAACAAACAAAGAAGCATACAAACAAACAAAGGACAGAGCAAAATAGACAAAGTACCCAGAAGAAAGGACCAATTAACAAAGAATAAATCAAAGGTCAGAGCAAAATAGACAAAGTACAGGTCAGAAGAAACAGAGGGCGTTTTGGTTTACGGTAAGCAAATAGACATCAAGCACGAAAACGAGAAAGGACAAACTCAAAAGGACATCAGCTCAGCTACGAAGTGACCCTCAAAGGACAACAGAGGGCGTTTTGGTTTACGGTAAGCAAATAGACATCAAGCACGAAAACGAGAAAGGACAAACTCAAAAGGACATCAGCTCAGCTACGAAGTGACCCTCAAAGGACAACAGAGGGCGTTTTGGTTTACGGTAAGCAAATAGACATCAAGCACGAAAACGAGAAAGGACAAACTCAAAAGGACATCAGCTCAGCTACGAAGTGACCCTCAAAGGACAACAGAGGGCGTTTTGGTTTACGGTAAGCAAATAGACATCAAGCACGAAAACGAGAAAGGACAAACTCAAAAGGACATCAGCTCAGCTACGAAGTGACCCTCAAAGGACAACAGAGGGCGTTTTGGTTTACGGTAAGCAAATAGACATCAAGCACGAAAACGAGAAAGGACAAACTCAAAAGGACATCAGCTCAGCTACGAAGTGACCCTCAAAGGACAACAGAGGGCGTTTTGGTTTACGGTAAGCAAATAGACATCAAGCACGAAAACGAGAAAGGACAAACTCAAAAGGACATCAGCTCAGCTACGAAGTGACCCTCAAAGGACAACAGAGGGCGTCCTCGAGGTTTTTTTCTTTTTAATCTAGGGCCTACTCCAATACGCTGTACTGTAGGTCTATAGGCATACAACAAATATGCATGCATGGGCTGGCCGGACTTATACCGAAAGCATCTCATTTTATATTTTAATATGGATACTGTCACTGATAATATAAGACAGCGTGTTTCTCGGCTGATTTCAGATATAGAAAGTGGGCTAGAGATGAATATACCGGTAAATCTTGATACGATCAACTACAGGCTCGACAGTCTGTGTAGAGATTTACTACATTTTCGCGATGGCCTCCCGCGTTATGCCTATGGTGACATTTCAAATGCCCTGCTGTCTGCCAGACAAGTCTTGGAGTTAGATGCCGCTGTAATGAGCCAGGAAAGCGAATCAACTGGATCTCGTTTTCAGCCTGATACAAATCCAGCTGGGGGTGCAGGCGGAGTGGGAAGACCAAAATTTGACATCTCGGAGGAACAGATTCGCTTCTTCGCAGGTAACTTAGACTCTAACTTTTTTGTTAGGCCTAACTGTTAGACTCTAAGTTCTAACTTAGGTCTAGAGTCTAGATCTAACTGTTAGATCTAGTCTAGATCTAGATCTAGATCTAGATCTAACAGTTAGATCTAGACCGAATTTTCGGCAATCCTATACTTTAGTGTGTTTTATTATTTTGGGTTTCTAACTTCAGTTAAGAGCTATCATAGGGTTAGGGTTAGGGTAGGGTTAGGGTTAGGGTTAGGGTTAAACTGAAGTTAGAAACCCAAAATAATAAAACACACTAAAGTAGGCCTATAGGATAACCGAATTTTCCGTTTATTTCATTCGTTAAGCCTATTATTTGGGTAGGGTCGGCTCTCTCTTTAAAGACGGAAGCCGACTAGGTCTCTAGGGTCTAGGCCTATACGCATTCCCTTGCTAACACCATGGCCATTTAGTAGATCTAAAGTTAGGGTGTCTGAACGATTTTTCAATTTTCAATTTGGGATGTGTTTTTCACCATTTTTGTTGGATATTTGAATAAAAAGTGTAGATTCTAGATCTAATCAGAATAGACCTAGAGTCTAATACATTTCAAATTTCAAGACTCACCAATGTTTCTATCAAAAGATACAGCCCCTCAAAAACTCTGCAATATTCATAGCATTTTGGTCAGAATGGACAAAAAAGTGGTTCACGTCAAGTTATAATTTTTGCTCAAAAGTTGTAGGTCTACAGCACGATATGCAAAACGTGGAGTAAGGGTATTTTCAAACTGAAATCCCTTGGGACTAGAGAAAAAAAAAGCGCATGGATATATTCCTTACAGCTGGCCCAACTTATCCCTCGGGGGCTCACTTCATGAAATTGGTAAATCTCCAAGTTACCATGGAAACAATGTTTAAATCGCTGTTTTAAGCAAGATATTTTGACAATTTTGGGGGTGAGCCCCTTTGCGGAATGTGGAGAAAAACCTGCTCTTTCATATGACTCCTCACTTATTGAGTATCACCTTCAGGATCACGAGATATATTGGTTTGAATCTCATTTTGGTAATAAAATCATTGACCAAATTTGCATGAGCGCGCAATGCACATGGACTACATAGGGATGAGTGCAATCTCTATGGGGAGGATTTTAGCACACAAAACTGAGTGCGCGATCAGACACCCTACATTTAGACTCTATGGCCATATTTTTATGCCCCGAAAATCCCCCCAAATGTCATTTTACCTCGTGCATGTTATATTGTAAATTAGGCCTAGAATCTAGATCTAGAGTCTAGGCTATAAATAATAGACTCTAAATCAGTTCCACTTACCAACTTGACTGAAATAATCTGTTTAGAGGTCTAATTGTACTTTTTTAGGAAATTATGGGTCAAAATCGAAATCCATGTTGAAAAAGATTTTTCTGCACCCCCCCCCCCCCCCCCCCCATTACGTCAATGCTGGTCACCATTATGTACCAATATTTGGTTCGCACAGGCGCGTACGCAGGGGGTGGGGTTAAACCCCCCTCCCCTTGAGTTTTTTTTATGTGTATGTTTTTGGGGAAAACCCCCCCCCCCCCGCCCCCTTTTGATTTTTAAAAAAAAAATTAAAATATTTTTTTTTTTAAATTTAAAAATCCTTAAAGATGACCTTACCACCGCCCCTCCCCCCTCTCCCCCCCTCTCCCCCCTCTCCCCCCTCTCCCCCCTCTCCCCCAATGGAACGGAATGTCGATGGGTCAAAATTTCAAATTTCGGGACCCCCCCCCCAAAAAAAAAAAATGTCCTCTTACCCCCTCCCTCGCTTATTCAGCGGCTGGCTGAGTCGTTGTGATTTTTTGGGGACCCATTTGTTTCAAATTTGGGCCCACCCCCTAAGAAATCCTGGATCCAGGCCTGAGATCTAGATCTAGACCTCCGATTATAGAGGGGAACGTCAACAAATGTCAGTTTTACTGAAGAAATGACCCATATCAGACAGTTATATGGGTCATTGAAAAACCGGAATTAAATCACATACCGTATAAAATTCGATTCAAAATAAAGGAAAATTAACAGGAATTCAATTTCCTAGAATTCTGTATGCCATCTATATTTTATCAATGGATATTTTTATAATAGCGATACGCGCATATCGTAGAAATATTGTGAGAGGATGAGAAAGCGTGTTTTTTTTTTTTTTTTTGTAGGGGTGAGAAGACATGAGCCCCTGAACGCTGACGTACTGATGGGGGGGGGGGGGGGGTAGGGGGGTATTTGTTATTCGATACCAGTGATTTACAAAAGGTTGCTGAAATGACATGATTTTCCGGTATTTTTTCTCAATATTTTTGTAAGTCGTATAGAGTCTACCTTTTTTATGCGTTTGTTGGAAAATTAGAAATTCCCAAATTTACAGTCGGGCCAAAAATATGCTTATTTAGAAGCCTTCATGTCAGGGCCTGCAGAAACTTTTGGAAAAAAACTATGTTACAGAGAAAAAGAAAGAAAGAGAGAGAAAAAAAATAAGTGACCTGCCAATGTCACAAACGAGGTATCAAAATATGCTAATCTGACCGTAATTAAATGCCCAACACCCAAAAGCTTAAGGGGGCTCTGCTGGGGTTTCCAAATGTTTTTGCTCATTACGCCACTGCCCCTGGAAGGTGAGCCCCCTGGAACGTTTGCCCCCCCCCCCCCCAATCCCAAACTGCTTCCGGCGCGCCTGCCTACAGTAATCCCAAACCTTAACCCTCACCCTAAAGTAACTTTTAATTGTTTTTATTTTTTTCTTCTCACCACTAAATAGTTAGCCTAGATTTAGCAGCAGTAATGAATCACACCCACTTCTTCATTCGTTTTGTTTTTTCTGCTGATCAGGAGAAATGAACTGTACAGTGAAAGAAATTGCACAGTGTTTCAACGTCAGTGAGAGAACAATCAAGCGGCGCCTCAATACTATTGGCTTATCCATCAGAAGACTTTACAGTGAAATAGGAGATCTTGAATTGGATGACAGAGTTTCCTTCATTTTGCAAAATATGCCCAGGGCAGGTAAGTGAACTATTATGTAAATAACTTGAGTACCACTAATGTCATGTGCATGCTAATTGCTAAGTGAAACTTGTTTTGTCTGTTAAATCCAGGTAAAATGCAATTACAGTCAAACCTGTCCATAGCGACTACCCTAGGGAAACACAAAAAGTGGCCTTTGTAGACAGGTGGTCTTTGTAGACAGGTTCCTTTAGTACATGATTCAATAACATTTTTTCAAGGGATACCAGTAATGTGGCCTTTGTAGACAGGTTCCTTTAGTACATGATTCAATAAGAAACCATTTTCAAGGGAAACAACAAATGTGGCCTTTGTACAGGTTGTCTTTGTAGACAGGTGGTCATTAAAGCAGGTTTGACTGTACTGGATCGAGCTGATCAATCCTACTCTGAGGTCCGCATTTGACAGATTAAAGGTAAAGACCAGTAATGGTCATGCGATTGCATTGTGAAAGAAACGTTGTGGAATCGATCAGAAAAGGTTGATCATCTAGCATCTAGCATCTGCAAGGTTCTGGAATCATCAAAATGATAAGAAATTTGGCCCATTCTTCGTAAAGTTACAAGCACTATATACACAGAAAGATGTATACGGGACTACCCTATATCTCTCACACGACCATGAGAGAAACAAATTTACCAAATATATGAATTAGTAGGCGGTTTCCCGGCAAATTTTTTATCATCATGTATTAGTCAAAACATATTCTTTCACATGATTGGTAATGAGAGCTTCCATTTCATTTTTTGAATACCAATACTGGTCTTTACCTTTAAAGGGCATATCTTCAGGTTTAAGGACATTACTAGTATTACTAGTACTCCACACATATTTCCATTATTAAAGTCAGTAACGGTGTCGTACACAGACATCTTTGATTGGTGGGGTGAAATTGTCAGTTTCTCCCTGGGGGTTATAATGTGTGCATGTATTAAAGTGTAAAGCCTGATTTAGAGTGGGGTCCAGGTTCTCGAGATTTAGCTATTTGGAACCTTTCAAAACAGCTGATATGCCTGGAAACTTTTCTGGTTCCTCAAACTCAGTTCCTTGGTTTCTCAAACTTGGTTTTGCCCAACTTGGATGGGTGCGCTTTGGGGGGGGGGGGTGTTGTGGGCCCCAGCCTCCCCCTTTGTGTATACCACTGGTCACTAATATTTGAATGTAATTGTTCTTCAATTTCAAAATATATCTTTCAGATGTTCCATTTTTAGCCTTCCCCAAATTCCAGTTATATGTTATTGTAAACACCAAATAACATGGTGTTCTGTATTCAATTCATTGCTGTGTAATAAATGTAATACCTACTTGTTTTGTTTTTCTTTTCCTTTTTATCTTTTACAATTTTTATTGTTTGTTCTTTTATGTGTGTGTGTGAAAACCTATCCTTTCGCCTCCTGTGGTTCACTCTCACTCAGGGGCAGATCCAGGATTTGCCGATAGGGGGGGCCTAAAATGTGAAAATCGCGCCGACCAATATCTCGCTCAGTGGGGGGGGGGGGGGGGGGGGGGGTGGGGGGGTAGTGAGCATCATTTTTTTGGTATATGACCCCTAAAATGTGAAAATCGAGCCTACCAATATTTTGCTCTGGGGGGGGGGGGGGGGGGGGGGGTAGTATGCATAATTCATTTTTTGTATGTGACAAAAAAAAGCCAGGGGGGGGGGGCCTTTAATCTAGATCCATCTTGTGCACTACACTGTGCCTCGCCACAGATGGCGCTATTCCATAACATCCTCCTTTGTTTATAAAACAAGAGAATTTTAGATGCATTGACAAGATTAAACATCTTCATTTTAACTGAGTCCATTCCGTATTAACTGAGTCTGCCTGCCACTTGTCATTCAGTCCATTTTCTACTTTCATAAATGAATCCATGTGTTGGGTGTCCATGGTGATACCAAACATCGCAACGCTCACTGTTGAATTGATGAACGAAGCCTTGGCTATACGAATCGCGACAGCTGGTCTCTGTTGAATATGAGTTCTGTGGAAATTAACTGCTGTATCCGCTTCCTTGATATCAGCGACTGTTCGGTTCTTGCATGGATTATGCCCTCTTTATGCACTAATCACTGTATCTCTATAATTCCTTATTAAACTCAACAAAATATTATAAAATCGAGGGGCGACACTTATGTGAATATCTGATTCATTATTTCCTTTAGCCTTTCTTTCCTCCTTTCTCTTGAAATTTTGTTCCCTCAATTTTACATCAAATTGACTACATGTACCTGAACACCAGTAAACTCAAATTTCTAATATTGTAACAGCTACACTTGTTCCTAAGAAAATGTGCAAAAAACAAAAAACTTCCATTTCTTTTTTCTTTCTTTTTTTTGGTTTTGGTTTTGGTTTAAACTACCAAAAAAAGAAGAAATGTTAAAACACATGTGCTCTAATCAATAGGTAAATATCTTTGCCAGAATTTGTGGTTATCTATTTTCCAAAATAAGTGTATAATAACTTTGTTAATGATTTACCATCTTCTACTAAATATTTTGAATTTAGATTATTTGCTGATGATTCAAACCTATTTCATACTTTTGATAAAAGACAGAAAGAAATAGATATGAATGAAGTAAATGTCAAATTTTTGGAAGTCCAAAAATGGTGTTTTGTTAACAAGTTGACAATAAACTTAAAGAAAACAAATTATATGCTCATTAAGGGACAAAGGCAATCATGTGAAATTAGGGGTATTTTAAAACTCAGTGATACAGTGATAGATAGAGTCAGTGTAGCATCTTTCGTAGGAATTCAAATTGATGAAACTTTGATGTGGAAGGAGCAAATTCAGAACGTTAATAAGTGTATACGGAGGAAGATTGGACTGCGCTGTGTAAGTTGAGGCACTATACATGTTCCTAAGCACATTCTCATGCTCTTGTATAAATCCTTTATCCAGCCGCACATACTTTATGGTATTGAAGTTTGGGGAAGTTGCTAATAAAAGTCATTTAAATTGCATACTATTGGCACAGAAAATGGCCATGCGTGTGATATTAACATTTTCCCCATTTAGAACAAGTTCAAAGGCACTGTTTGTATGTCTACAGGTATTAGATGTGCATAATCTGTTTGAGCATTTAGTATCGACATTTGTATATGATCTGCAGAAAGGACATCTACCACATTCGTTAATGGATTACTTTGTTTTAATGAATCACATGTATAGAACAAGAGGGAGAGAACATTTAATGCTACGATTACCTAAACGTAGTAAGACACGTGGGACTTTTTCAATTTCTTTCATTGGAGCAAAGCTGTGGAATAATTTGCCCATAAATATCAGAGAAGAAAAAACAAGATCATCATTTCGTCAAAATCTCAGAATTAAACTCCTAAGCAGAGATGAATCATAAGGATCAAATAATATGATATTAAGACAAAATAAATGTTAATATGACTTTGCATACAGTTTTAGAAACCCGGAGAACCAATCCCGACTAGCACTCGTGCTAACTTTTGGTTCTCCCTTTAACAACATTTTAAGTTTTTAAGTTTAAAAATATCCTTTATTTGAATCACTTATACGTTATTGGAACTCTGTGAATTTCAATTCCAGCCACAAATCTCTACGTATTAAGTTATAGCTAATTCACAGGTTTTGATATGACATGATATATGATTAACTTAATTTGTATGGTTCAACTATGGATATTTTCTTTTTCTTTGTAACCCATGTACATGGATATGTATACGACATGTTATTTTTGTTCTCTGTTCGCGCTTCCACCTCAGGCACCGCCTGGTAGCGCGGGAGCCACGGGCTCCGACGGAAAGAAAATATTACCCAACTCCAGTGGCAAGTCACGGCTGGCAAAGTCAGCAAGAGTGGGCTGGGGAAAGCTAAAAGTAAAACAAAGACAAAGTCGGACTCAGAGCCAAAGGCAATGAGCGAGACGGGGAATCAGAAAGTGAATTCAACGTTTCCATTATCTACTTATTTACTCGTCTCAACTCTGTGCACATGCTCTGATTCCACTTTATCTGGTTGCAGTTCCATTACATGGATTTCATCATAGTACTCTTCATCCGAACTGTCTATGGCTTCCACTGCATGCACCGGTTTCTTCCCTCTCTTTTCTTTCCATTGATCCTGCTGCTGTGCCCGCCTTTCTTTGCACTGGGTTGAGAAATGATTCTTATGGCAGTTGAAACACTCCTTGCCATAGGCTGGACATTTCTCCTTTTTCTTCTCATGTTTGCGTCCACAGAATTGACACTGAACTGTTGGCCAGTGTGTAGTTCCCTCTCTGCTCACCGCACAAACCTCCTGTCGCTGCATGGTCACCTACCAGGACATCTACTCTGGCCTTGGAAAGCATGACGCCTGACAAGCTTTCACACACTTGTCTAAATCAAGTGAAGATTCTTGCAGAAGTCTCTCCCTCAGCATTCCATCTCTGATGCCACACCCTATCCTGTCACGAATCAGTGACTCCTTCAGCTCTCCAAAATTACAGTGAGCCGCCAACAGCTTCAGTTCGGTGAGGAATGTATCAAAAGATTCTCCACTATCTTGACTTCTAGTAAAGAACCTGTACCTGTCGATGATCTCATTCCATACTGGTTGACAATGCTTCTCAACAGCACTAAGAGCTTGAACAAGGGTTGTTTCCTGTAGGGTACCATCTGCCTATCTTGACCCTTCCGGTTTGATCGTCTCATACAGCTCTCTACCTTGTGGACCAACGAGGTACTTGAGCATCTTGATCTTTACCTTGTCCTCTTTCCCTTCCATGCTCAAATCGATATATAGCACAAACTCTTCCTTCCATTGCTTCCACTCCAACGCCAATGGCAGGGCACTTCCCTCAAAGTTCATCTGTCTAGGAGGTCTCAGCTGCTCCATTTTCCTGACATAATAAGTTTCTCTAACTCTGGAAACAATGATACTACTACTTCTGGCAAATGAGGGTCGCTATTCATAATGGAAGAAGAGGGTCGCTATTCATAATACGACGAAAGGGTCGCTATTCATAATACGAAATGAGGGTTGCTATTCATAATAGGAGTAGAGGGTCGCTATTCATAATACGTACGAAATGAGGGTTGCTATTCATAATAGGAGAAGAAGGTCGCTATTCATAATACGACGAGATGGTCGCTATTCATAATACGACAAGAGGGTCGCTTTTCATAATAGGAGTAGAGGGTCGCTATTCATAATACAAAATGAGGTTCATTACTCATAAGGTTCGCTATTCATAATACGAAATGAGGTTCGCTATTCATAATAGGAGAAGAGGGTCGCTATTCATAATACGAAATGAGGGTCGCTATTCATAATAGGAGTAGAGGTTTTCTTAGTTTGTGTTGTAGTGGCAGGCAAATTAACCCCTCTTTTTTTAAAACTGTGTCCCTCCGCTTATCAGAATTAGTTAGAACTGGAAACTCAAATTGTTGTTATTAAACCATTAAGTTTAATACCTGCTAAATTCTTTTAATCATATCTGACTAACAACATTTGTCAAATTACATGTACCTGCACATGCAGTGCACAGTTGGTAACATCTTTGATAATATTTAAAGTTTCTCCTATGTTGATTCTTATATGCATGAAATTAATTTTTATATAATTTATGATTAATCACACCTTAAAGCATATTATATCATATAAGAAAAAACTCAGTAACGCTATGAAAAATGAAAAAGAAATGGATGACTTTTTTTAAACAGTTACCGGTATAACTGTACAGGGAAGCACACATGTACATTGTTTCACAGTTAAAATACAGCCTGCTACCACCATATTACTGTTATTTTTTTAAAGTTGATTCAGATGAGGGAAGAATACGGTACCGGTAAAATGTTAATACGTATACTGCATGATTTTTGCCCTTATTTTTGCATTAAAGATTCTCCATACATAAAAACATGTGTTTCGCTTCCATGAATATCGATGATTTGAAAATCAGCCCGTCACAATGTTACCTGGTCCCTTGAATTGCATAGATGTACATGTATTTCATACTATTTTTTTTTAAATATTTTTTTTAAAGGATACAAAACGGTGGATGGATATCTGATTTCACAAGGTCTAAGGGTGCAAAGACAGAGGATCCGGGACAGTCTGTACAGACTAGATCCAGAAAGACAAGAATTGAGAACCATAACTGCTGTACGAAGGAGGCATTACTCTGTGGCAATGCCCTTGTCACTTTGGCACATAGATGGACACCACAAACTGATACGGTGAGTTTTTTTTTACAGTACTGGCAAGCCAATTTAGCATTGAGTGTGTTCTATATATTTACAGAATGCAGTAGTCCAATTTTCATGACATTCATTTTTCCCCTTTACAGATTGCAAAGTAATTTAACTTCATGAGGGCATGTGCATTTAAAGAAGTTTGAAAGAATTATCATTCATATTGAGAGACATATACATACATGTACATGTACATATACAGAAATTTTTCACAATCATTGGTTTGAATTTGAATTTTACCCTATTTTTGATATTTTAAAGGCTAAGTCCACTCCAAGAAATAATTTGCTTTTAATTTAAAAAAATTGAGTAAAATTGGATAATTAATAAGGAAGTTATGAATTTTTGAAAAAGAAACAGTTGAAATCACTGCACAAATTGCCAATTTGATAAATTAGTTTGTGACGGTATTGCCTCACTATCTATCAATTGTTTTATTTATTTTTATCCCATTAATTTCCCTTTTTACCTCCCAAATCTTGATTTCCCCATGTCTTCACCCAGGTTATACGATAATTTGTATCATATTGCGTGCATGACATTTTTACAAAATCTTTTATGAACTTTGAAGAATTTATAGTATTTTGTCTGAATATTCATAATCATTGATTTTTGTCTCGACTGCGTAGCAAAAAGTGATGTTGACGCCACCGCCGGAAAAGCAGCGGCGTCAACATCAATTAACCAAGGTTAATTTTTTTTAATTTTAAATGAAAGTATAATTAAGTTCTTCAATAATACTTGGTAAAGGGTTATCAAGTATCCCCAAACATGTAAGGAGATTTTCAGGTCACAAAGTCAAGGTCGAAGGTCAATTCAGGTCTGCAAACTTAGACTTTGTTGTGGCATGAACATAAAGATTTGAATTTTTAGCATAATTTCAAAAGTGTTTGTTCAAATTCCATGAAACTTGTACACAAGGTTTATCAAGTATCAGAAATCATATGACACAAATTCCAATTCACAAAGTAATGATAAAAGGTCATTTTAGGTAAGTAGAAACAGATTATATTTGTTCACAACTTATATGTACTATATGTCCCATTTGCAGGCCAAAAAAAATGAAATGGTTAAATTCCAACGGCATTTGAAAGATAATACTAATTTATTACTTCCCTAAAAAAGGGGCTTGAACATATGTCTTTAAGTGGGAAAATAATGACTATTAGTTAGTAGAATGCTCGTACGTTTTGTGCTGAGCGAATTCAATCAGTTTAATTTTAGCCATTACAAGAATTGGGTTATTGATGTACGGATGCTCATGTACCCTTTACAGCTCATTTTATGTGTGTTAATTATTACCAAAGAAGAAAAAAGTCAGTCATTTCACTCAATAGTGTCTGACAGTGAAGTCTAGCAAGTAAACCGGTTTCCTTGCACAATTTGAATATTAGGACACTGCTAACGTTTAAATTTCACAGATAGGACATACATGACATTCATAATTCCTGCAAAGTTCTACAGAATTTGATGTTGGATGCAAAAGGGACATTGTATATTAATATGATAATTTAAAAAAAAAAAAAATCAATTTTTGGTTATTTGTCCATATTTCATGAAAGTTATCAATCTTGGTACAAATAATAGTAACTAATTCTTCTACTGATTCTTAGTCAATATTCTCTTCAAAATGCTGATTATATTCAGAGGTTTCATTTTTGGGGGCCTGCTAATGGGCCACCCTGCCTATAAATAATGTCCCAACCTCAATTTCTCATCATATCGAAATGCGTAATGCAGGCGAGACCGCCGTGAGCGTTTCCCTTGTAATACTTGTTATTGTGTTGATCAAGATAAATAGCCAATTAATGTCATGACAACTTGATGATGTTCTTTATTTTTTAACTAGACCGCATTAGATCATGCAGTTGAAATCAATCTGAAAGTACATCACAGCATTGTAATGTTTTACTCTTATATTTCTCGGATCTAATAATTTCTCATTCAGGTGGCGCTTTGTGACTCATGGGGGAATAGACGGATATAGTCGAGCTATCGTCTTTCTAGGGTGCAGCTCCAATAATAGAGCTGGAACAGTGCTCGAACTCTTCAAGGATGCGGTCTCCAATTGGGGTTTGCCATCTAGAGTGCGCTCTGACCACGGAGGGGAGAACACAGGAGTGGCGATGTTCATGCTAGACCACCCTCTCCGTGGTTCAGGAAGGGGTTCCTTCATTACCGGCCGGAGCGTCCACAACTGCAGGATAGAACGTCTGTGGCGTGACCTCCATGAACAGGTGACAAGAACTTTCTATAACTTGTTCAGGAGTTTTGAGAGTAGAGGCATCCTAGATCCTGATAGCGAGCTGCACATATTCTGCCTTCAAGTGGTGTTCCTGCCTCGGATTAACCACAGCATCCGATGCTTCACAGAAATGTGGAACAACCATAAGATCCGAACAGCCGGCAACAAGACGCCAATGCAGTTATTTATAATGGGGCTGCATAGCCATAGAGGAACTGCACTCCTCAATGAGCACTTTGAAAACTACTCAGAGGTACATAATTTAATGCATAATGCCCCACTACATAAGCCTTTGAATATTAATTAAACTATAAATCATAACAACGAGCATACACCGATGTCCCCTAACAGATTATTTACTTCAATTACCGGTACTGGATTTGTTTTTCATTATTACCTCACCAAACTGAAGACTAGCTGGGCTGCTATAACCAAATTAAATCAAAATTCAGTGTGCATTTAAATGATGCTGTGTACTAAAGTGCATGTTTACTTGTATATTTTTGCATATTGTACAGCTAGCTATGGATTACAGTTGAACATAATACTACTTGATTTTTAGATAAATGAAAATGAATTTGTCAAATTTTAAAGTTTAGCTCTAGGCACAAATGTCACCTGTAGGTTTAGAAATACAGGTAGGGCTACAGGTTTCTGATTAATCAAACTGAAGGATCATTTTATAATATTTATTTGAAAATGAAATTTTGTAGGTGGGGACATTTTGTACATGGTTATTAAAGATAAAGTTGAGTTCTGTTCGTGCAATTGATTGAGAAAGAAATGGTGTGGAATCGATCAGAAAAATTACAAGCACTGTACATGGGACTGTATATGGGACTTCACAAACACGGTGCATAAAAATCCGTCCCGATGTTGATTATGTTACATGCCATATTTAGAATATGAAGGCATTTGGAGAGCCATTCTTTTTAGGGAACATGTTTTATCTTATGTTCTTCCACACTTACATGATAACAATGTTAACACTCACAATTTTTTGTTCACCTCTTCCCAGACCTCAATCTTTAAATGTTTTTGGTAAGCTTTTATAAAATTTATCTTTTAATAGGACGAAGCTGCCGAGTATGGCATTGATCCCAATGGTCACTACTTGGGAGGAGCAGAGAATGATGGAAGTGTCCAGATTCCATCTACTGTATGCCCTCTTGCACTAACTGCAGACCAGATGGACCACTTTAATCAGCAAGTCAGATTCCATCCTAATGACGTAAGTGTATTCGATGACACAGCCTACCTACAAGGGCTTGAGGTGCTTCAGAGTTTTAATCAAGACTGAAATAACTGCATTGGCGTCTTGTTGCCGGCTGTTCGGATCTTATGGTGGTTCCACATTTCTGTGAAGCATCGCATGCTGTGGTTAATCCGAGGCAGGAACACTACCTGAAGGCAGAATAGGTGCAGCTCGCTATCAAACGTTCTATCCTGCAGATGAAGGAACCCCTGCCTGAACCATGGAGAGGGTGGTCCAATTTTAGGTTCTAAAAGGGCACTAGAAATGTCATAAATAAGAATTTGAGGAATAACCCTGCACTTTGAAGGCATTTGCAGTCTGAACTCGACTATCCCGTTAATCCTAGTCCATGCTATTCTTTTTATTTGTTATTTTTCTTTTGCGTGTTTATAAAACTCTTGAACCTGTTTATTTTGTAAACTTTTGTTACTAACCGTGTTTTAATACAGAACTTGAAAAGCTAATGCATCTACTGCAACCCCGTCAGAAAGATTAAGAGAGCCACACCAAAGTTCCACCCATACATCCTAGTCCAGCCAGTCATAGAGGCCGTTGCAGCAAGCGAGTATCCAACACATAATACTTCAGGCAGCTTAGATGGAATTACTGACCTGGATTACAAAATGGACAATTAAGTCAAAGACAGCTACTGTAGTATACACCTGTATGTTCCAGGATACGTGCTCGAGTTTAAGCAATTTGATATCATGCAGCAAATGTCATGAGAGAATCAAGAAAAGATGTGCAATGTGGATATCATAAAAGATAAGAATGCCCTCTTGCAGAAAGAGGATAGTGAGCCAGGAGCGTCATCTACCAGTGTTGTCTATGGCATTGACCCAACTGCAAAATGGTTGGACATCATACATCGATCTCCAACTTCTGCATTAGTTTAAAACGGATCGAATTCCCCTTTCTTCTGCAGCTTCACCTTCTTCCTGATCACACTCTGTCGACTTTGTCCTGAACAGAATGTGTTGGAAGCCTGACTTTGACTCAGAATCTAGATAATTATGCCAGTGCTAGCTTATCAGCCCGCCATCTTCTATTTTTATTGAATGACATGTGTTAAAATCCATGGGTAAAAACATTTGCATCTTTATGGACGAATGGTTATTTAAATGTAGAAATTTTTAGAATTTGAACACAACTATATTTTGTATTGCAAATAACATTATCCAATTCAGAGTAGCATGCGGTACAGTAGTGGGATAGAAAAAAAAATGAATCGTGAGGGAATGTGGAAATAAATGTACAAGTTGATGACAATTAAAATGATCGATATCAAGTGGAAATGGAGTTTGGTGAAAATTGGTTCATAAACTTCAAAGATATCAAGAAGAACCCACTCTTAATTTAATTTCACAGGCCACAGAACGTTATAAGAAATTCAGTATAAACTAGCGCTGTAGCAGGATTGCAAGTTCGTAATGGGTATTATTGGATGATAATTACCACCACCAATCATTATGGTCGAAGGCATAAACCAACAATGTAGTCAAATCTAGTGTGCATCATTGATGCATCATTTCTTGACAGATTTCTTTCAAATTGAGTATGGAAGTGTATATTGGTAAAATCTATGCACCTAGTTTTTGGTGATGCTGGCACTAGTGTCCCGTGTTTTATAGGATCAAAAGCTCATATTTTGGTGGGTATCTAGTGTGCACTCTGTAGTTCATATTGACAGATTTCTTTCAAATTTTGTATACCGTAGAGATGTATCCGAGGACAATTTACACATCTCTCCTTTTTGGTGATGCTGCCCTCATTGTTACATTCTTTATAATGTCAAAGGTCATTTGTCCTTATTGTGCCTTGTTACTGCTGCATTTTTTGAAGGATTTTTTTTTCAAATTTTGTATGGTAGTGTATCTTGATCAAATCTACATATGTGTAGTGTTTGGTGACGCTGCCACCAGTATTCGTCTATTTATTAGGGTCAAAGGTCATATTTTGGTGGGTGTCTAGTGTGCGCTCTGCAGGTTATATAACCCATGACCGATTTCTTTTAAATTTTGAATGGAGATGTTTCTTGGTACAATCTACACTTTTGGGCGGTGCCCTCATTGTTCCATCTGTTATATGGTCAAAGGTCATATGTCTCTTGTGCATTTTAACTACCACATTTCTGGACAGATTTCTTTCAAATTTTCTAAAGATATGCATTATACTCTAATCTAGACACATATTGCTTTGGTGATGCTGCTCCTAGTCTTGACAATAGTCCGAGCCACTATAGTGGCAATCTCTATGTCATCCTTTTGTTTCAGGGATGGGAGAGAGGATCTTAATTGTCCCTCCTTCGAATATAAGGATGACACAAAATTGCTGCCACTGCCGGGGGATACATTCGCATTGCGCGGCAATACAGATTGTGTTATTTCTATCTATTATTATAGGAGAAATAGGTGAGGAGTAATTTCATTCATGTGAATTAATATCTTCTTCTTTCTCTTAATAATTTTTCTGATAATAAATAATTGTGTATCATTCTTTTTGTTAAAATTATGATTACGGTAGTTGATTATAGATGTATTTATTTCATTCTTTTTTTTCTTGGGTAAGGGGGGGGGGGGGGAGAAAGCAGAAATTTGTCCACCCCCGATACATTTAATCAGTTTGGTATAGTCTTTTCTGATAGTCACCCTTGCATATAAAGTCAAATTTATTGGAAATATTAAATAATAGGCTTGATTTTGATAAAATTATAAAATTTAGACTCTCAAAGACAATATAAAATTGTTAGAAAAGGGCTTGTATTGGGCTATTGGCCTTCGACCAATGCTAGGTAAACTTATGTAAGGTTGTACATTTGCGTATAAAAAACGTTAAAGTACACTGTCTTGCTAGAGTTTTGTTTTTTTCATACAAGTACGTTCATGCTCCTCAACACCTCATAATTTCTAGATGTATTATACTTTCTTTTAACAATAAAGTAAAGTATAAATGAAGCTGAATTTTCAACATTCCAATTATTTTATTCTTGTTTACATGGAGAATAATACTGGTTGAGAAAAAGTGAAAATACAGTGAGTATACTGTACATGTATTTGGATCAAAGACATACACATGTATATATATAATGAATAAAATTTTCACTACAAAAATACACTGGTATATTGAGGTATTTTTTTTTAGTCACTAAATATTACAAACTTCAATATCACATTGTGTCAATGAGCCAATTAAACTAAAGATGTGGTCTTTTCTTGCGAAACACAATTTTTTACTAAATTTGCTTAAAAATTTGCCTTGCACACTTATGGACACCATTTTAATTGCCCTTTAACTTCTATCCTTGGTAGTTTTGCTCAATTTTTAACTTGCCCTAGACCTATTAAAGAGATGCACCTGTGGTGTGAATAAACTTTGGTGATCCCAAATGCCACAATGGTCAACCTTGTTTTGTCATTGCATGGACCAAAATGCTAAATATAAATAAATGACATGTGATGTGCATCATATTTCCTCATTTTGGATGAAAATAAACAATTCAAAATGGTTGTCTTCCCAAACTGCCCTTTTTTTTTGGACACACTTGGGCTAAAAAAATCTACGACAAAAAATAGTGTTCCAAGATGCCCCCCAAAGAAGAAACTACAAATATTTTTACCCTTGCACTAATCCAAAATTTATGTGCACAAGAGGGTATACTACCTTAAAGATGGGTAGAGGGATTTTCAAAGGTCAAAATTTAGCTCAAGCTGGAAGTTGGATTAACATGGACACATTTTAATTGGAAAAAAACAGGGCAAAAGCCGCAATTAATGACTTATTCTCAACCATATAGTTGATGCATATTTACTAGCAAAACTATTCCTAGTATGAGAATTAAGCGGTTGATTTACTTCAAATTTCATACATGGGGTCCAAACATAACCTTGGTACTGTTCAAGTTGTAAATAAATTTGTGATCCTTCTACCAACTTTAAAGTCACACGAAATGCTCAACACAGCTTAAATGCATGACAAACTCTTTTAAATTTTCTGGTGCAGGTTTATACTGAGTCAATGAACAGATGAAGTATTTATTGTCCCATTTTCATAAAATTGGTTTACATAATGTCTTTGCTTACTTCATTTAATTGCATTTCGATAGGTTTGTAATGTCTATCCATTTAGGGCCCAATATTTTCACTTTAAAACCTGCATAGATCAACAAAAATTTGGGCTTAGGAGAAATAGAACTGCACAAGGAGTAAATATGAAATAATATGCCTAATTGGTATAACACGACATTTTTTCTACCGGTAACTATGGTAAAAACAAAATTATAATGATGATGGTACCATCAATGTTATTATGTTATTAAAATATGACCCGTTCTGGTTTTTCTGACTAAATTTAGCCAAGCTCACAAATATCAAGGGCAAGTACTGCAATTAAACAAGGCATTTCAAGGTAAAGTTATGTACTACATAGAAACAAATTTACAAAAATGAAGTGTTTTTACTTCATGGCATATGGCAAGTCAAATATAACAACATCAGCAATGACAATTCATGAATATTTTCACTGTAAAACTTAAATAGATTAAAAACATTTTTAGGCTCAAAGTGACTCGGTAACATGCATTGTTGAAGGTTGATTAAATTGGGTAATTTTTGTATGAAATGCTACTTATTATCTTCCTCCGACTGTATCTAACATGCAAAAAAACCCAGAAGGCACCACTGTGCAACACCCTCTAACAGTGATTAACAGTAAATTCTCCCAACCGTTTTTCCATGAAAAAAACACATAAACAGGCCTTTAAATATCTTTCAACAGTTAAATGTCATGAATGGTATATAGAGCCAATTCATTGCTTTGTGACGATTTACATTCACCCAAAATGTAATTAAATTGTAATAATATAGTTGGGAGATGTAAGGTATCAATCAGATCAGTTTTTCCCAATTTCAATCGCCACTAATGGTCTGATTTCATTCTAACTTTCAGATTATCTTAATTGTACATCTAGCATTGAAGTCACTACCTTAGCAACATTTTCTCTCATCAGAACAGTATTACCAAGTCCCTTTAAGAGAAATTGATCTGCACTAGGAGTACATATGAAATAACATGCCTATATAACACCCTATTTGTCTAACTTTGGATAAGTTGTGGTCCATTTCGGGTTAAATAATGTTAAGTAGTTCACCCCACATGCCAACTAAGTGTACATTGGCTCATATTCATACTTCATTTGGCAGGGGTTAACTAAACATATATCAAGTTTCAAATATTTACTTCAAACAATGTTATAGGACAACTCCTAATTGGCATAAATAATGAGCTGGATCTTATTTATCAATGGCACTTCAATTTAGATGATAAGGTATACTCATGTCCTAAAAAGAACAAGTCAACACAAAGCGTAGCATCCCCTCGCAAGGGTACAAATGGGCTATATACATCAGAACAAATTACCTCCATTGGACTATACTATTATATTACTAGGCAAGGAAGTTGACCACATTTTCACATATATAAGTAGGTGTTTTTGCGTATCTAATGAGCTATGACCTTTGACCTACATACTCGGAAATTGAACTTAGGCTGCATGTACAAGTATTTTGATATCATCCACCTTCATATCAAATTGCATTGAAATTCGTCTTACATTACTCACGTTATCGAATGGAAACCAGATTCGTATATCTAATGAGCTATGACCTATACTCCGAAATCGAACTTATGCTGTGTTTCGATACCCTAGCTGAACCTTCTTATCAAATTTCTTAAAAATCCTTCAAACATTACTGAATGCATCAATCGGTTCTTCAGATAACGCGATCACGAGAACGAGACATACGTACAGACGTACGTACAGACGGACGGACAACCCGAAAACATAATGCTTCCGGCTACTTCGTAACGGAGGCATAAAAATATCATCATATATATTATACCATAACTACAAGATGAAATTTTGTAATCTGAGGGGACATATATCCTTGGACTTGCCTAGTATAGTGTTGTTTATTTAAGCGGTTAAAGAGAAGGTTCAGTTCTGGGAAGAGGTGAAAAATTATTTGTGAGCGTTATCATTGTTATTATGCAAGTGTGGAAGAACATCAGATAAGACATGTTCCCTGAAAAGCATGGCTCTTCAAATGCCTTCATATTCTAAATATGCATGTAACATCGTAAAAATCGGGGGGCCGGCTTTTTACGCCACGTGTTCGTGTAGTCCCATATACACATTTCTGTGTAGAGTGTTTGTAACTTTACAAATTTCTTATCATTTTGATGATTCCAGAACCTTGCAATACACACAAATTCTTATATGCTCGATGATCAACTTTTCTGGTCGGTTCCACACCGTTTCTTTCACAATGCAATAATGACCAGAACTCAACTTCATCTTTAAGCATTCCCAAAGAACTGGTCTGGAAACGAATTATCGAATAGCTGGAACAATTCATCCCTGGAAGGAAGAGTTTCTGTGGCTTGGTATGGAATGGGCAACTGGAGCTCGTGGCTGCATGTCGAGGCTCCAATCCCCATTACAGGTGGTTTGAAAAAGGTTATCGTCAGCGGGGGCTGCCAACCGCAAACGGGCACATGTGACAATCCCGTCACAAATATGATTATTTGCTCCAGGGTCATCAATTCTTCATCACTATTGCAGTGATGGCTACCAGCTGCAAAAGATGGAATAATGAGTAGCATAAGGTGAAATGTAATTTTAAATAAATTTAAACATTATTATTAAAAAACAAACACAATTATACTGGGATGAAGATTTGTTGTGCCCTTGAAAATGTACCCCCCCCCCCCTCATTTCTTGTTGATTGAACACCCCTCACAAAACATAGAACAACCCAACCCAGAATGGGAGATAAGGAATTGGTAGCTGCTGGGCTGGCATCACATTGTTTTAGCTGATGCTACATCCAACAGTATAAATGACTTCACTCTCGTTTTGTCCATTTTTAGGTAAGAAATTCAACCCTTATTATATAGATTCAGTTGGTGACAATCTATAATATTGTTGTATTTGTACTAAAGATATTGATTTGTGATAATAGTAATTATGTGAGAGTCTGGATGAGGATATATTAGAACTTAATAAGAGGTTGTTTTGTGATTGCTTTGTGCATGTGTTCAAGCCTTAAGACAAAGGATGTGTATAGGCAAGTTAGGGTTTCCCTAGTAAAAAATAAATAGGAAAAAAATAGAAAAAAAATAGGGAAAAAATAAATGCAAAAATATATTTTTTTCCTATTTTTCTCATCCCCAAAAAAGCTATTTAATTGCTATAGTTTTGGAACAAAAAATAGGAAAAAAATAAAGCCACAAATAGTTTTGAAATATATTTTTTTCCTATTTTTCTCGTCCCCTAAAAATAGGAAAAAAATAAAGCCACAAATAGTTTTGAAATATATTTTTTTCCTATTTTTCTCATCCCCCAAAAAAGCTATTTAATTGCTATAGTTTTGGAACAAAAAATAGGAAAAAAATAAAGCCACAAATAGTTTTGAAATATATTTTTTTCCTATTTTTCTCGTCCCCTAAAAATACCCAAAAAAGCTATTTCAAATAGCATAGTTTTGGAACAAAAATAGGAAAAAAATAGGAGACTTAAATAGCGTTGAAATAAAAATAGTTTATAAATATATTTCAGAAATATTTTTTTCTGAAATATATTTCTAACATAATTTTTTTACAAACCAAATATATTTAAAATCTATTTTAGAAAAAATGGAATATTAATTGAATGATTGGTGTACTGTATAATTGTTTGGTAGCAATTAAATCTCTGTCAAGCTCTACTTTGTAGCACCTTGTTGTACAATATATGCATGTAGGTGCATGTCATGCACACATGTACAAAATAATTGGATTAGTCGAATCCCCGTCCACATATTACCCGAGTAAAAACTAAAATAGGAATAAAATAGGGGGAAAATAAATACACTAAAATATTTCTATCCTATTTTTCTGCTGCCAGATGTACAAGATAAATAAAATGCAAACACATTTTTATTTCAGTTTGAAACGTTAGAACACTTTATTACATAAAATATCACATGCAATGTACACCCATATGGTGAATGAGAATACTAAACAAACAGTCCACAAACTATTAAAACATATTTACAAAAGTCACACTTACAAAACTTGAGCAGCATTTCATATAGAAAATTTTGGATTTAGAGGTAAGAACGGCCGGTAAATATTATGTATCTTTGGCAAACCGATTGGCATATACCCGTCTTATAAATAATACAAATATTACGCAAAGGTAGTACTAGGTCTTTGTAAACATAAACGCAAGAAAGAAAAAAAATATATCTTTTTCTTCTTCATTAAATTGTTCCCTATATAATCACTGGTAAAAATTGCAGATATTGGGTTCACATATATATATGTATTAGTTGTGTAAACGAAACTATTATAATGTAAATCTAATCTGAATGTAAGATATTAGAATTAAAAAAAAAAAAATGAATTTTCACATTTTTGGCTAATAAAATACTAGCATATATACAGGATGTGAACCAGTATTGAACAGCTTATACATGACTATAAAGTGTTACATGATACCAGTAGCAAGGCTATCTGGCAAGTTTCAACAGTCTAAACAAAATCTTTAAAAATGTCTATAAATGAAAACATGTGAAGGCAAAGGTATAGTTCACATCTATAACAATGTAAAAAGTGTTAATAGCACTGGCAACTTGGTCTATCTGTCAAGTGTCATAAGGATGTCAAACATGAATAGTCTTCAGATGTCTTTAAAACTTTAAATGAATACTAAGACAAAGCTTTATTACTGTTACATGAATACACATCTATAAAGTGTTACATAATACTGGCATCAACTACATAGTGCACGTGAGCTGACATGGCAAAGAGTATAGTGAAACAAAGTTATACAAAAATATTCATACGCAGATATAGAATATATATATATATATACATCAATACATGTATATATTTAATTACGCCGTGAGGTAATTCAATTTGTGTTTGTTAAGATTGCCTTGGTAAAAATTAAGCTGTGTATTGAAGATTTATGTCTCAGATTCATTCCGACCGCGAACACATGTTTGATTGTGGCAGGGCGAGGCAACCTGGAAGTACTTGCTGAATGTTTGTTGGACGGCATTATTGGCATCATTTTGAAATGCTTTCCATTAATTACAGATGAACAATAAGTCATTAACCATGTATGATTCTAATACTTTCACCCATGTCTTGCATTTCCTTGATGTGTGTTGGACAGTTCAGTCTAACAAATTAAGACTGTATGTACATGTACTCTAGAAGACAAGGGTGCCAGTGCCACACAGTCCAAGTTGATGACTTTCCAGCAGCCGAAGCTAAGATACCCTGAAGAAGAAAAAATAATAAGTAAAAAAAAAAATAAGCAGGTTGTAGTATTCTATTATGCTTTCAAATCAAATCTAGGAAAATTTAAGAGATGAACGTGGAATGTACACTGTACAAATGAAATTCATGTAAGAACTACAGTTACTTGCATCCTTCACAAATTCATGACATGATAGATGCTTGACTACTTACATGTATGAATTATGATGATTGAATGATGAGCTATACTTTGCAACTATATGGTCATGCATGATGCAATACACCTACATGTGCATGCAGGATCTGCACAGCCAATTGAATGCGGGATTGTGATGGAAAAAAAATCACAACACACATAATATATACAGTGTATGTGACATACAAATGTACGGCTTCTAAGAATAAACTTTGCCATTCAATTTCTGTTAAAAATATGCAAGAAAATCTTGCACGTATGATTTAGGATGATTTATTGGCTTATGAAATTTCTACCTGGCTGTAAAAAGTGTAAAGAATTGCAATTCATTCAAAACGAGTGCAGATCCTGTGCCATGTGTTCAATGGAGATGCTATATATCCACATGCGTTCACATGTCTTACCAACTACCATGCAGCCAGCACGCGCATGTGGCGGAATCTAGCCTACACTGCACTGCGTTAATTTGCTCAAATATATTTGTGAACATGAGTAGACCTACTATAATACGCTAATTCCATTCTTTAACGAGATTCGTCATGTTTGATTGTTCACTTCCAATGAAAAGCCTTACGTAAACACAGATATATAGGTGACTATGTAAATTATGTAGACATACTACTAGGGAATATAATCTACGATCTTCGTCAACTGTGATCAGTTTGATGATGGTTTGGATTTTTTCATGAACCAAATAAATTTACAAAATCAAGATTTACTTAACCAATTTCCTAATTTAATTGTACAGAAAGCAAACTCAATTTCGTATTGAATTGTGTGTAATTTTATTACTCACCTTCAAAATGAAGATCTTTAAAGTAGCTCCAGCAGCTAGCAGTAGCAGTCCAGTGCATGTAGTGCAACGCAAGTTGATCGTATTTCTCCAACACAAGAGTGCTAGTGTGGGACTGTAGGCCTAATCTTGGTAATAAATTCGATCCTTTCATTTTGTTCTTTCAATTCTTGCCCTGGAATTACTCTTGAAAGTGTCCTTTCCTGGTGTAAATCTACCCCTTATTACCCATACTGTGGGTTTTACAGGAAGACAAGTCTGGCGAAATGGCAAAGTAATGATTGAAATATGCGCCGTTGAGCTGATCATCACAGAGTCTGAGTGAAGATTTGAATTTGAAAATAAACTACCGGTTGGCCTATTCGCTTTCTACCACTAGATGGCAGCACACATTTAGTTGTGTTTCATTATGATTCAACATTTTTGAAGAGTACCCTTTCACCTTTGTATTTATTATGGGGAAAATTGTTACAATTACATCCAATTGGATAAGTTCTAGTCACTATAACACTATAGTAGTAAGCTAATTCTTTTGCTAATTACGTACTTTTTTACTTGAAATATTCAAAATCGATAGTCATTTCATTTAAAGATAAAATTAAAACATTCTTAATTCTTGATTAAATGTTCACAGGCCTATACGATATATTTATGCTCCCTTAAAATGTTCACAGGCCTACGAAATAATTATGCTCCCTTAAAGGAAGAGTTGAGTTCTATTTTTTTTTCATTTTAAAAGACGAAATATCGCAATTTTTGTTAATATTATAGTTGTATTGTGAAATATGTTTTGAATTGTGCAAATATATATTTATAAAGTGTAAAAAAGTTTCAACAACCTTAAAAATCAAATATCGGCCTATATTAAAAGCAAAAAGGTGACAAAATCCATTAAGTCTGTGAACATAGTAAACAAAATATAGGGAAAAAATTGTGATAAAAAAATTAAGTCCCTAACCCTAAAAAAATAGGAAGAAAATGGGTGAGAAAATTGAAGTCCAAAAACATAGTAAAAAAGTAGGAAGAAAATGGCAGAGAAAAATCCAAGTCCAAAAACATAGTAAAAAAATAGGAAGAAAATGGCAGAGAAAAATATAAGTCCAAAAACATAGTAAAAAAATAAGAAGAAAATGAGTATAAGAAAATCTAAGTCCAGAAACATAGTAAAAAAATAGGAAGAAAATGAGTAAGAAAATCAAAGTCCAGAAACATAGTAAAAAAATAGGAAGAAAATGGCAGAGAAAAATTTAAGTCCAAAAACATAGTAAAAAAATAGGAAGAAAATGGCAGAGAAAAATCCAAGTCCAAAAACATAGTAAAAAAATAGGAAGAAAATGGCAGAGAAAATATAAGTCCAAAAACATAGTAAAAAAATAGGAAGAAAATGGCAGAGAAAAATCTAAGTACAAAAACATAGTAAAAAAATAGAAAGAAAATGAGTAAGAAAAATCGAAGTCCAGAAACATAGTAAAAAAATAGGAAGAAAATGGCAGAGAAAAATTTAAGTCCAAAAACATAGTAAAAAAAATAGGAAGAAAATGGCAGAGAAAAATCAAAGTACAAAACATAGCCAAATAGGAAGAAAATGGGTGAAAAAGGGCAAAGTCCAGAAACAAAGTGAAAATATAGGACGAAATCTGGTGACAAAAAATCTAAGTCAAAAAGAATAGGGAAAAAATAGTAAGAAATAGGTAAAAAATAGGAAGAAAATGGCAGAAAAAAATCCAAGTCCCAAAACATAGTAAAAAAATAGGAAGAAAATGGGTGAAAAAATCAAAGTCCAGAAACATAGTGAAAAAATAGGACAAAATCTGGTGACAAAAAAACTAAGTCGAAAAGAATAGGGAAAAAATAGTAAGAAATAGGTAAAAAATAGGAAGAAAATGGCAGAAAAAAATCCAAGTCCAAAAACATAGTAAAAAAATAGGAAGAAATAGGTAAAAAATAGTTATCAAACCACCAATTCCTAGAAATAGAAAAAAAATAGGCTGTCATATGCTATTTTTAATCTATTTTTAATAAAAAATAGTGTTTAAATAGGGTACATTCACATAAAAATAGGAAATAAATAGTGAAAAATAGGAAAAAAATATATTTTTCCAGAGCCCATTTTGACTAGGGTTGTTACATAACAGTGAACACAGGGCACTCTCATTTGCTGTGTGTGTGTCTGAGTGTGCACTGCGCACTAGTACTAGTAGAAACAAAGGATAGACTTGTGCCTCTTGTTTGCTTAATGAGCTGTAATCTATGCAAGAGGGAGTAGAAGCCCAGAAACCTGCTCTGGGATGATTATGTTGCAGTATAAGTGTACAGTGTATATATTGCTGTAGAAGGAAGGCATATATTCTTCCAACTAGTGTTAACATAGAGTTTAGTGTTAAAGTATATGAGACTGAGTAGAAAACATAGACTTTGATAATTAGTTTGGTCTTGAGAGTACAGTTTTCTAATTGTTATGGCTTACGCCTATACAGATGTTAGAGAAAGCTAGTATATTGAATTCTCAAACATTAAGTATTGTAGTATTATAAAGAGTAGACATGTATAATACAAACAGTATAAAACTGTTACCATAACCAGGAATAATTTATGGTTTCATATGGTATTATATTATATATTATCAGTTATTGGTTTACTAATAATCATTGTTGTTATTCAAGTTTAAGTAAATTCCAGTAGTTAGATTTTCATCTTCATATACATGTTTATAATAGAAACAAAGTAGTTAAAATAAATGTATTAGATGAAACTGAGATAAGGACATGATCGCAGTTGGTCATAAGTATGGTTTTGATATTATAAGTATTTAATGAAGAACTATAGAAGATTAGATGGATTCAAAGTCAGATGCCAAATGTTCCATTGCCAAAGTAAAACAGACCAAAGTATTGAATATGCCTTGTTCAAATTGTCAACAGTGTACACATGTACATTGTAAATTCACATATTAGTTTGAACTATCATATTTTTAATAAAGATCACATTGTTTTAGCTGATGCTACATCCAACAGTAAAAATGACTTCACTCTCGTTTTGTCCATTTTTAGAATAACTCCTGGAACCCCGTAACAGATTAACCACTTACCAAATTATAAGTAATTGTACCTGGTGGAAGTTTATACTTTTTAGATAATGTGTTTTTCTGATATACTTCCGGAATAAATCCTGGACCCCATGTTAAATACGAACCTGATCTAGCTGTATGGTATATGTTTGTACATTCATAATAGAAATGTAGTTATTACAAACCCTGGTTGTCAATCCCATATAGCAACCAGTATAAAATTATATTGGTTCGTACGGGTTTCTACTGATTTGTTATTCCTTTTCCAGTAAAAAAAACAGTAGGAAATAGCGCCTTTTACGTTGTATTTCAGCCAATGGTGGTGTTTGCTTTTTTGTTGGCTTTTTTGTGCTGGTTATATTACGCACAACCAGCCGGCCCATGTATTGTTATTATTAATTAATTAATTAATTGACGGTAAACGCATTTTTGTGAAAGTGGAGCTGAATTGCATGGTATGATCATATTGGCTAAAATTTGCACATTTTGGGGTCTAAAATTACCTTCATAGCAATTTTAGGTCGTAAAATCAAAGACACTAGAAATGTCATAGTAGATGAGCAATAATCATGCATTTTGAAGGCATTTGCGGTCTGAAAACAGAAGTCAACTATCCCTTTAACATTAATCTTGAAATGATTGTAATTCTTTGGGGACACAAAGTAAACAAAATTGAATTTAGATGCAATATATCATCTTTTATAACCAAGCTTTTACTTTACCTTCAACTTCCCGGACATATCTCACAAAATGGCTGAATACTGCTTCCTCCTGACGTCTCCTGTTTGAGCCGGGTTCAGCAAATTTAACCTCAAATGAGCTCAGCAGCGCTGCTGCTGTCAGCTTAGTGTCCTCTCCACCGTGCAGAAGTTCCTTGCACTGCGGAAAAGTCTTCATGAGCTGTTAAGATTCATGAAAATTGAAAATTTAAATGAATATAGAGAAGGTATATATACCAGACCTGCGAGAGGAATTTACCCACACTATGAACATGAAGCACAAAGCAAAATATAACATAAAAGAGCTGGGAGGCAGAATCTCCCCTGTCATGGAAGTTTTGCATGTTATACAGGACACCCCCACTGGATTAAGCGATCACCTGAGCCTGACAGTTTCACCTTTGGGGTACTCTGGATGCAAGTGCCTAATTTTGAATATCTATAGGTCCCCTTTACCTAAGGATAATTCCTGACAAGTTTTGTTGAAAACCAGCAGTCAATTTTCAAGTAACTGAAAATGTCAATATTTCCATTAGACCCTCCCCCCCCCCCCCCCCCCCCCCCCAAAGAAAAAAATAAAAAATTAGTGCCCCCGCCCCCCTCAATGGGTGATGCTATGAAAAGCAATTATTTTTAACCTTCAAGGATCTATTCAATATAATCCTATTCTAGCACAATGCTTCTTAACCTAGCTAGGGGGCCAGATGCCTTTTCCAGGGGTCATCAAGAATCAATTGAAAAATTGGAGTCTTATGTACTTGATTAACCCTTACTGCACTGGGCTATTTTGAGCCCCCTCATTTTTTTTTTTTGTTGCAATAAAATCCTCAAAATCACGGAAATTGCTCAAACCTCTCTTGTTCTTTGTCTTTATTTCCTGTATTGACTGATTGCACATATTGTTCTTAATTTCAATTCTCTTTCAATTTAAAGCAACATTTTATACCTCCGTCATCAAGATGGTTCCACGATGATAGCTAAAAATACTAGCAGCTAGACGATTATCCAAAAATGTGCAAGCTAGTACATGTATCTTGCACAAATATTTAGTTATTGAGATTATAGACAAATATTTACTTGTACAACTCCCGTCAGGCACAACCCTTTGTGAAGCTGCTGCTCAGAGTGGGCGTCGCATGTCCCCTCTACCAGCCGAACAGCAAGCCCGGATTCCAAGAAGTTAGGTGACGGGCCATCTTGAAGTATGCATTGTCCTGTAGTGATATTTAAGAATAAATACAGCATGTACATGTACCATAATTGGTGATATATTTGTTTCCTTTAATATTTAGAGCATTGAAAGCCTTGATTGTGGCATTGAAATATGTTTCTTAGTTTTTACATTTTTCATGGAGTATTTCTCCTAATTACAGGCAGTAAAGCACACACCAATTGCATATATTATACAGTATGTGTCAGAAAACAATAAACCCAAAGTGTGAGTGACAATAACTTCAATAGTATATATACATTATTCAAAATTCAGATTAGGACCCTAAATTGACTCATCTTGACACATTTGCTGCCAATTACATGTAATTTGGTTCAGTAGTTATGAAGAAATAATTAAAAAATAGAAAAATGACTTTAGGGCTATTACTTGCAACCAAACATGCTAAAAGATGTCAACCCGGGGCCTGACCGCGATCTTTCGGTGAAGTTTGCTTGACAACTCTTCCAATCTGGAAAAGATGCCAAGCCAGAAACACTCCAATTTAAGCCGGTGTGTGATTTTTTGAAATGTCGACTGCTTGTTTCGTAATGTAAACGGTAGCACTTTGGATTGCTAGAAGTATACTGGGTCAGAATGATGATTCTGAGCTCTCGCCGTCGCTTGATAAAATACCTAAAAATCTGAACCTTACAATCGTTATCCCAACGTTAACTCAGCGAATTCTAAAGATTCTTCTTAGCAACGATGTTCATAAATTTTCCCATATCGTTGTTACTAGATTTAGATTGTATTTGAGAAAACCTCGTCGGCAGCCGTAATCCGTACTTTGTGAGTCGTCTTACTAGTGGCGCTAGTTCAGTTCATGTATAAATCATGAAAACATGTTGAAAGTAAGCTTATATGTAGAAATAGTCAAGTTACACCCAAATTTTGTGAATAGGCTCTAAAAATGTACGTTATATAATGCCATGATAACACTCATGAAACTGCCCAGACAGATCCTTTAGCGTTCAGAAATTAAGGACCCCCTTCAATCCACTTACTTTTCAGATGCTGCTATTATTACGACATATTAGATTAGATTGCATTTTGTACTATAAAAATGGATAAAAGTCTTACATTTGAGTTTTCATTGATGTAATCAGGTAGATATAATCACTGATGTCATTGGTTACATGTGTAAATATAGTTGATTTGGTAGATTCTTGAGGTCATCTGTGACCAGAGCAAAAAGCAATTACAGATTTCACACATTGAACATACCCATGAGTATTCCCGCTGCCAGAAAGGCCTTTTGCTGACAAAATCTGGTAGCTTGCTCAGGCTCAGTCACAAGCACCCTGTCCCTGTCTGGACCTTGCGTCAGTCTTTCGTGAACCTCTTGCAGTGCCAGACGGAGGAACTCCTTGCGGAGGCCTCCAAGGTCCTGGCCCCTCTCCCCCATGAACTGTATCTCGAGGGGGAGACGAGGCCTATATGCGGCAGCTGAAAACTCATCCACCATGCCTTGGAAGATGTCATAGCGGGAGATGTGAAGGAGGTAGGTGTCTCCTTGCATGGAAGCATCCATGTCTGCAATATCTTCTGGTAGGTTTAATCTCCTTCCGTTGAGATAAATGCTCCGAAACTGGTGGATGACTTGCCCAATGTCTGTCTGCTCAGACCTGGATAAGTGGGATGAATGGTTTCATAAATAGTAGATTATTAAATTTATGAACAATCAGATTTGTTGAAAATGTTTATATATAAGCATAATTTTCAGTAGAGTTGATTTTTATTAATTTTAGCAAATATATCTTGATGAACGACTTCTGGTATGCATACCAAATGCACGATTTTGATGAATTTCTTCATTGAATAAACAAATAGATCTGAGGATGGAAGAATTTTGATGCAATTTTTACCTTTGATCTTTTCTGTCACAAGGGGACCATTATTTATTATTTTATTTTCTTTCAAATATTGCGCAACTTTTGACACTATTTTTTAAAACCAACATCACACCAGAGGGGATATTGGCCATAGAGCGAGCAAAAAAATCATCCACATAACTAGTACGTACAGTAGAACAAGTCAGGAAAATTTTATTATATAGATATTTTTTATATCCTATGTGAATTCTGAAGTGTTTTAATATTGTTACAAAATTCATTTTTAACACATATTTCTAAAGCCAAAACCTTTGCACTTAATTTGTTCATGATTTGTCAATTTTTCTCTTTTTGGCAAGACGCAAAAGATTTTTTTTTCTTCATGCAAAATCACATGTGAAACATTGAGGGGGTAATCAATTCTACCCCCCCCCCCCTTCCCCAAGCTCTTTTATGGATGAACCTACTTAAAGGGAATTTACAATCAAGGTAACATAAAACTTGTGTGGAATAATTCATAGGCATATTTTAACATTGAGAATGGATAATTAAAAAATGTTTGAGCTATAAAATTATATTTGAATGGATATTTACAAGAACAAAAAAAGAATAATTTAAAAAAAAAAATTGTTTCGCCAAGGTTTTTATTATAACACTACAGACATGGGGGAATTGAGTACCAGGTATGTTAAAAAATGGTGAATTGATTTTTCAAGCAGACATTACCTCATAATTCTCAATCAGATTGGTTATCTTTCTCCTTTTTCTTGGCTTCATTTTTACATTAATTTTCAGCATTGACGACATATTCACCTAAAAATTCGTTGAAAAACTTGAAATGCATCTGCAGGTTGTTTAAAGTGCTGAGTTACTCGTATTTTGATGTGTTCAAAAATTTAAAAAATGCTGGGTATATATTATTTGATATATACTGAACAAATAAATCAAATTTTTCTTTACTCTCTGATTTACCGTTTTTTTGTTATTAAGTGTTGAAATTGGCATTTTTCAGCCAACACAAGCGTTCAATTCTGAAAAGCTTACTAACAGTCACGTGATGCAGGTCGGGATTTGACGTCACCACTGACGTCACTCGCAGTAGTGTTGACCGCGCGCTGATCTGACATGTCGAAAGTACCCGCGAATTACACTTACGAACATCACAATATAGTAGAAAACCACCCTATCCAAAAACGTGTCCTTCTCCGGGCTCGTTTGCAAACTCTATGAGACAATCCCCGAGTTAAGGACACTAAAGTCGGAACCTCTCTAGCGAGGAATTTTCGTAATGTAAGCATTATAAAATTAAATTGCCATTTTGAATTATGCCTATCAGTACTAGGGAAATAAAAACAACTTCCTTTTTTCTTTCCTACCCTTTTGATACATACTGTATGTTGTTTGGGAGGATTTCAAGATGAATTGTTGTCTTAGTCAAATCATAGGCCAGACTAATTGTTTATTGGTACTTACAAGCCTTCTTTCAGTATGGTGAGGATTCTTGCCAACTCCTCTTCATCTGACTTACATTCTTCCGTTAGAGATGATATTGCCTGTAAATAACCATTGTATGAAAGGCAATTTGTGACACACTATAGTCTCGCCAAATTCTATTATTTTTAGTTACGTTAATCCAAGCTGTAAGTGTCCACTCTTGTAGTTTTACGTTGTGTGGAAAAAAAAAATCAAAGTTTTCACGTTACTGCTCCATTGTTCTGCAGAGACAATTAGGCCCCTAATATACCATTTTTATCAACAATCTGTAACTCAGTCATTGATTATAGGCATAGTAAAAACGATTGTTGTTGTTTATAAAGGGAGTTCTTGTCATCATGATCTGTTATCGATGCAGATTAGGTTTTCTAAGAACAAGACTAATACATATTAATTTATAACCTATACATGTAAGGTTGATATCTAAATCAAAGATCAATGCCATCAAGTTCTATCCCAATTAGCTGCTGTCAAATGCAATGTATGAACCAAATTTAGCCCTATTCTTGTATCATCCATAGATGTTCCTGTAAGGAAAGATAGGGCACCGCCACTAGAAAAATGAAAATCTAAATTAATAAAGACTTCGCAAATGAGCAACTATTTTGTATATTTGACAAGAAAGAGAGAACGCGAGAATAGGGAGCGATGTAAAGAGAAAGGCAGGGGGGGGGGGGGGGGAATAACAATACTAACCAGTGGTGGAACTTCAAACACAGAGGGTAGATCCTCATCTGATGGAACTTCAATGTTAGCTTGTAAATCCTGAAGAAGAAAAAAAAAGTCACCACCTAGTAGCATGAGAACTCAAGATATATCTGTAGAGTATATAGGGACAACTCCACAGAAAGTATTTTGTAAGCTATCCGCACACCCTGCTTGCTTGACAGATATTTCGGTATTGCTAGGATGAGGCTATATAGTCTGCGACTGCTGATGCCTTTCAAACTTCCATGGATAGTTATGATTAATAGCACACGTGGTTGCCACACGATTTATTGCCATTAGCTGCCTCCTCTATGTGAGAAGATCTAGACTACTAACTCTCAAAGATACACATTGAAAACAACCGTGCAGATAAACTAGAGAAAAGCCAAGGTGGTGTCATAAGTTGACTCTTTTTTTCAGTATATATAAAAGTAATATACGCACGCCTCTGCTAATAGCACGATTGTAACCTCCCCTTGAGCGTATAAAAACAACTATTTCTCTCAAAGCAGTCATTATTACTATTATTATTCAATATAATTTTGAATACTAACCACACTGTCACAGTCAGATAGAGATGGACGTTGATCATCTTCTTGGGTTTCCTCCTGCAATTTAGTATAAATATAGAGAACATATAATAATACAAATAACATGGAATTATATTCAAGCACATGTCAGTCTATGAGTTAACCTTATCAAGCAAATAACTACCGTTGATGAAGGTGATGGGACAAATATCACTTCCGAGGCGATCTGGATGTAACTATATCTTTCCGAAGCGAAGCTGAGGAAAGATAGCGTATACATTCAGATCGCCGAGGAAGTGATAGTTTGCCATTGCCACACTTATTTGCTTTATATTCTACATCAGAACATTTCACTTCTTCTGTCACTTTAGAGCAACAAAAGCCATCAATTAACAGCAAGCAAACGGTACACTGCGTGCAGTATGGTGGTGTAACCACATAGTTCGCGTACTAACACTAAAAGTGCTGAAAGAGGAGAGTAATACGCAGCGTATACAATTAAAGGGCATTGCCCTGTGTAGATAGGACTTCTATCTTCAGTGAAAGTGCGTTGCCCTGTGTAGATAGGACTACTATCTACACAGTGTAACAAACTTTTTGCTTCTCCCAGCAATGATTGGCGAACTATCTTTCATCACGTGATTTACTTTTGACCAATCGTAGAGCAAAATTCTTAGTATGTGGAATATAATATATATCTGTAAAACGCTTTGAGAGGGCCTTTCGTTCCTGAAAAGTGCTATATAAGAACTAGCTATTATATTTATTATTATTATTATATGAGATCACTAACTTAGTCTATTCACTCAAATTGGTAGTTTGGTTACTAGTGGATTGTGACGTAGGACATGGAAAACTCTCCGATTTGCCGTGTACAAAAATATCACTAACTTCTGTTTTTGCTCGTAAGTTCCTTCTTTCTTGGGCACTATACTCATAGCTAATAATTATTTTAATCCACTAATCAGCCTCAAATATATATTGATCACATTCAATGTATTACTTTACTACATGAATCACACAAGATGCCACAGAAGCCTGTGTAAATTTTCTTTAACTCACATAGTTGCATAGTTCGCTGTGTTCTCTTAGTTTGCTTGTATGAATGAGGGCTCCACATTTGCAACAGGGTAGCTCATGATCTGTTGCAGGTGGTCCATCTGATTCTATGTTGATATCTTGCTGAATCGGGCGTATGTAGACCTTCTGTGTGCTGATGAGTTTAAGGTCTTGCGCATTGCAAGGCCCCGAATGCACTACTTGTAATGCTGTCCTGGACTTAGTTCTGACCGTCATTATCTCAAAACCATGATGTAACTCATCTTTCTGAAATGCACTGTTGGAAAGAAGTAGCAATAAATGACCAAATAAATACAAAAATTGGAAGTGCCAATTCCCTCTAATTAGCACTTTCCTTTGCACTATTTCAAATTCTAATTAATACAAGTAAAATGAAATCTGCACATGCAGGTTAAGATTTTGGTTGCATGACAATGCGTTAATATTGGACACTGGTAGTGTAGGAAAATTTTATTGAATATCTCAAAATGTCTCATAAAGTTCAATTTTACAAATTATTTCTGAATGAAAAGTAAATGAATTAAACATCTTTTATTGCACAAATTAGACAAAATGCATGTCTGTTCTGTGTTCATTTGAAGTATTTGCAATTCAAACGGACACCAAGGTTGTTTTGGCTATTATATATTATTTTTAAATCAAAGGCCCATTTCCTAAAATTACCACAGAGAACACTACTGAAATATTTCCATCAAGTGGTATTTGCTTTTGAGTACATTTAAATTAGTTTCTGCTAGAGTACTGTCATTGTTTCAAAGATAGCAAATCCACAATGTTCACCATTAACTACCACTGACTTATTATTTCATAAATGTATAAAATGTACAAAAAAACATTCAGACAGAAGTATTACTTATGCACGCATTTTTTAAAATTTAAGACTTTTGAAATATAATGTTATACCTATCAAATTTAACCTATTAGATATTTTAGGGCGAACACCACTGTGTACTGTCGGTCGGCCATGAATTCTGCATGTGGCACCATTCGAGATCGGCCAAAATAGTTATTTGATAAAAAGTTATGGTTGCAGATCTGATCTTGAATATCACATTTCATTTATTTTCTGAAAATTTTAAATCATATTTCAAACTGAAATGTTGTTTAAAACCATGGCTATTTATATGTCACACATTTTACTCCCTCCGCAAAAAAAAAAACGGGCAGACATCACACAATCACAACATGTTAAACATTATATGAGTTGACAAGAGGCTATGTTTGATATCGTTTTTAAATTTGATATGATCAAAATTAATACCATGTGATGTTATTAGTTTGAAAACATGTTAGAAATGCATTAAACCACTGCCATTTGTGAGAAAATATACCTTAGGATCTGATCTTGGACATGTGCACTATCACCACCTGTCTCAAAGCTAATCAATACTTCCCCCAGGCCATTGTTCTTGAGGATTGCTTTCTCCTCTTTGGTAGGGACATGCTCGGAGTTGCATCCTGGCAAGCACAGCACAATTCGGCCGAACGTACTGGTCTTTCCTGTTAAAAAAGATTAATTGCATTAAAAAAAACTAACAATTGGGAACCTAGAAAATAATATATCTCATTGTAATTTCTTGGAAAATTACCTTGAACAAATATATCAATTGGTGCAAATTGTTTCAGATATAAAATTTACATTTCTGCATTTTAACAAAATATTCAAAATGAATGTTGATTTTAAACAATTTATTTGAAAACTTTCTATGATTTCGCCTACAAAAGTTATAAATATTCAATTTATTGTACAGAACTTGGATAATGCTATTACACCGTATCCGGACACCTAACCCCTGGACAACCACATCTAGAATAACCACCCTCTAGGGGGTAGTTGTCCTAGAGGGTGGTTGCCCCATATAGGAGCTGTCTGGGGGATAGATGTCTGTGGGGGTTGTTGTCCTGCGGGGGAGGGGGGGGGGGGTAGTCATCCTAGAGGATGGTTGCCCTAGGGTAATTGTCCTGGGGGGTGTTTCACAAAGATCCTAAGTTGAACTTATCTCTAAGTTGGACTTAAAAATTATGGAAAGCCATTAGCATCTTTGAAAATATTTTGTAAAAGTTATTTTGAAAGGCATTAATTGTTTATTCAAATCATTCATATTTTCTATCATCAAGGAGATTTCATGTTCTGGATGTGGAATTTATAAAAAGTCTAAAATACTTGAATTTCTGCCTTTGAATATATTTCATTTTAAGACTCCAATGGCTGTCCATAATTTTTAAGTCCAACTTAGAGTTAAGTTCTACTTATATAGGATCTTTGTGAAACACCCCCATGGAGGGTAGTTGTTCTGGAGCTAGGGTAGTTTTTTCTGGAGGGTAGTTTTTCTGGAGGGTAGATGTCCGGGAGTAGTTGTCCTGGGGGTAGTTGTCCTAGAGGCTGTGTGGTTGCCCAGGGGGGTAGTTGTCCTGCGGGGGAGGGGGGGGGTAGTCATCCTAGAGGGTGGTTGCCCTAGCTAGGGTAGTTGTCCTGGAGGGTAGTCGTTGTGGAGGGTGGTTGTCCTAGGGGGTAGTTGTCCGGGGGGTAGTTGTCTGGAGGTTGTTGTCCTGGGGGGGGGGGGGGGGGGGGGGGAGTCATCTCAAGAGGGTGGTTGCCCTAGAACAGTTGTCCGGAAGGGTAGTTTTTCTGGAGGGTGGTTGTCCTAGTGGGTAATGATAATACTCTGTTTTTATATAGCGCTTATTAGAATCACTAAGCACTTCCAAACTTATTACTCCGGCTTTATATAGCTGTGCTGCCATTGCGGCGCTCTAGCATTTCAAAGAATTAATTCCTGCCAGACCCCATTTACATCACCTGGGTTGAGTGTGGCAAATGTAGATCAATGTCTTGCCAAAGGTATAGTCCTGCGGCAGGTCTTGAACCGCGGACCTTGTGCTCGACAGTCCGGCGACTTAACCACTCGACCACTGCACCTCAAGTTGTCTGGGGGTAGTTGTTCTTAAGGGTGGTTGTCCTAGGGGGTAGTTGTCCTAGGGGGTAGTTGTGCTAGAGGGTGGTTATCCTAGGGGGTAGTTGTCCGGGGGGGGGGGGGGGGGGGGGGGGCCGGGGGTCATTTTAGAGGGTGTTTATCCGGGGGGGGGGGGTAGGTGTCCTAGAACCGTATTACACTTATGTTGAAAAATTGATATTTAATTGCTTTCTTTATTATTCAAACATGCACTCTGTAGGAATTGGGTTTTAATTATTAATTTATAATAATTGTACTCACTTTTTTTGGGTGGTGGAAGAGATGAATGGGCATGCTGTAAGAGATACAAACAAATTGTATACATGTCAAGTACTAAGTAACTGGGGGCACCTTAATTTTAACATAAAATCAAGATGGGAAAGAAAACAAAAACAAATGTTACTATAATTGTAGCAATTGATACACACAGGAGTTCATATCTATTATAATCAATTTTATCATCTTTTAGGATAATGCAATTATTCTTAATGACTTTAACAAGACACGCATTTGTCTTTTGTAATATATGGTACATGCATTCAGACAGGAACATTTTGGAAACACAGGCTTCACTTTAATTTTTTAAACAGCATGTGAATTAACTTACATGTACAAAGCTTATTTCAATAATTATACCACAAAATTTGCCTTTCGCCAAACCATTTTCCCTCAACATCACAGCACTCTCTATGCTTTATCTTTGCATTAAAGCCCTTTCAAAATGAATGTACAAAACACTGCCAAGCATCACAAAGAAGCTCCTAGCAAGGATACCAACTCCCCACCAACCCGACCCAACCAAGGGAACTTTATTGGACTTGTCAGGCTAAAACATTATATACAAAAAAGAATTTAGTGTATTTGACCTTGATTCTACTTTTCAAAGTACTTACCCGAAATAGGCGACTATGTTCTTGAAGTGCCAAGCATCTGAGAAGAAGTATAAGAATATCTCTGATATTAATAAAAATAGCAAAAATCAAAACATTTTACCATTAAACCTCTTCTACTACTAGTACTGTTTCTACTACAGTCTGCCAGAAATAAAATAAAGTGTCTTTATTATTTCAAATAGCAAACCAGAACGTCAATGACGTAGCGCTCATCCGCATCTGGCAACAACAAATATCGTAAATTTTATGTGGTACACTTTTGAACTGGTCAAAAAATAAAAATTTGATGCCCTGGAAGGGACATAATTTCATTTAGCTGTACAAGATTAAATAGAAACTAAAGGAAATTGAATGAAAATTGGTTGAAAAATATATAGTTTTATGACAAGCAGGACTCGAACTTAGTAAGAGATAAATGTAAACATACATACAGAGGTATAAATAGTCAGTAAATTGTCAACAGAAAAATATGGCAAAATAACAATTTTGTAAGGGACAAATTTCAAAATTCTGTGTAGAAGTTTAGTGTTCCAAATTTAGCTCTACCAGATAAGGCAAACCAAATCAAAATCGGTCAAGAATTGAGGGAGAAGAAGCAATTTTTGTTCTTTTTGGAATAAATTTGCATAAATTACCATAATTGATTAATGGGGAACAACTTCAAAATTCTGTGTAAAAGTTTAGTGTACCAAAGTTAGCTCTACGATATCAAGCAAACCAAATCAAAATCGGTCGAAATATGAAGGAGAAGAAGCATTTTTTGTGATTTGTTTTATTATTTTTGGAATAAATTTTCATAAATTACCATAATTAATCAATGGAGCAAAATCTCAAAATTCTGTGTAGAAGTTAAGTGTTCCAAATTTAGCTCTACCAGATAAGGCAAACCAAATCAAAATCGGTCAAGAAATGAGGGAGGAGAAGCAATTTTTGTTATTTGTGGAATAAATTTGCATAAATTACCATAATTAATTAATGGAGAACAATTTCAAATTCGGTGTAGAGGTTTAGTGTACCAAAGATAGCTCTACCAGATAAAGCAAACCAAATCAAAATCGGTCGAGAAATGAAGGAGAAGCATTTTTTGTGATTTTGAATAAATTTGCATAAATTAGCATAGATAATGAATTTCACGATTCTGTGTAGAAGTTTTAAATCCCCCTCCTAGCCCTATCATATGAAACAATCAGAATCAAAATCGGTTGAAAAATAACGAAGAAGAAGCATTTTGAAAACTGTGGACGGACGGAAGGACGGACGGACGACATGGCATGGCATAAGCTCATCAGGCCCTTCAGGCCGGATGAGCTAAAAATGAAAGATAATTTATAACAACGTTTACTAATGTATGTTCTATGTACCGGTAATAACCAGGAATATGACGATGTTGTGATATCATGCCTCTGCCCAAGTTCTCCATTCTCCAAATTAAGGCCATATATCAATAACACTTGATAATAAGCCAGTTCACGGTTGCAGTCTGAGCATGAGCAGATAAAGGTCATTGCAGAACAAATTTTGAAATACACGGAGACGAAATAATGGATACGTGCTCATGAAAGCTATGTAACATTATTCATTCATGCACATTCAGTGCCATCCATGATACACAGGTGGAAGTATTCTTTGAAAAGGGGAAACAAAGGCTATTTATATAGCACCTCCATCGCTGTAGGAGTGATTATTTCGAAATGTAAAAAGTGGGACCTCTTCATGTTTTTAAGATCTGTGGATATTCGGGGTCATTGCAGTAATGTGCTAACCGTGAACTGGTCTATTGCATTATCTTAATTAATCACAAAACTTGACCTACTGACCCCTAAATACTCACATCTTCATCTGTCTTCACAGATGGGCACTCTTTGCCCATGTTTGGTTAAATTCTGCTTATCACTTCTTGAGTTATTGCAATAACAACCATTTTAACCCTTACTGTACTGGGCTAAGCACCCACTGACTGGGGGGGGGGGGGGGGGGGGCCTGGGAAGCCCCCCCCCCCCCTATGATCTCGGCCGTCGATTGTCCGATGAACACGAAAATGTGCATGTTTGTAGATATTTACTTAAGGAACAAGATGGTATAATTAGTTTTGTCCGAATATGCAAATTTTTGTTGTTAATTATGCAAAATACGCTAATTTTATGCATTTTACAGAAAACGTGTCAAACTCCACTTTTTGAATGTTGAAACTCATTATTCATATGAAACTTCTTTTCTAACACAAAAAAAGTTATTTTAATGTAATTAATAATGATAATTTATGCAAATTTTGATGGATTTTCAATTTTTTTTTGGTTTTCTTTTATGACATGCGCATACTAATTGTTATGTAATGCCTTACAGGTATATCCGATTTCGACGAAAATGGTATCAAAATGTGCGTAAGATTTGAGGGAAAAAAGTCATGAAACGACAATTCAAAATTCCAAGCGGTTGCGGCGTAATCTCCGAAAATGTCGAGGGGGGGGCCTCCCGGGCCCCCCCCCCCAGTACAGTAAGGGTTAAACTATCTGAACTACATGTACATACAGGTGTAGGCCTACCTGCGAGGAGTTGCACTGGCAGGTCTAAATGTACTGGTACCAGCCTCGTCTTGCCCTAGGCCTGGTCTGGTCCTGACTAGAACTGGAGGCGGTGGCCTGGTAACTGGAGGCGGTGGCCTGGTAACTGGAGGCGGTGGCCTGATGACTGGCCCCAAGCGTTGAGTCTGCAGAGGCTGTAGAGGCTGTGGATGAGCCCGGGGCTGACTTCGCTCATTTGGACGAGCATTGCCATCTACATCTGGGTCTGATGCAAAATAAGTACACACAAAGCTAAATTTTCAAATAAATGTATTAGTGACCCTTGTATATCATATGAAAGCAGAAATCTGTATTTTATGAAAACATACAAAATGATTTGTGGACCAAATGGATTGTGGACCAGTTGTAGACATAATGGTAGACTAATTGGATTGTAGACCAAATACATATTAGTAGGCGAATCAATTGTAGACCAAGCATATATTGTAGACCATTTGAATCGTGGACTACACGATGGTAAACTATTTGGTTATAATAGACAAACTGAATATTAGACAAAATAAATTGTAGACCGAATAATTGTAAACCAAATGGGTTGAAGACCGACTGGTGTGTGGACTAAATGGACTGTACACCAAATGACTTGTGGACCAAATGAATAGTAGACATATTAAAATTTTAACAAGTTACATTGCATAGCATTTTGCTGATTTTAGATCGCACCCACCTAAAGCATTAATTACTTGTCGTAAGGTTTGTAGAAGATTAATGGCAGTTTCTTGTGTCATCCCTGTTCTGGATTCCGACATTGTTGTTGGATTATGGCACCTGGACAAAACAGAAAAATATAATAATGTATTAAGTATAATACAACAAAATGACTAAATAACATAAGTTACATAGCTAATTAATAGGTATACCAATTGAAAAGCTTATTTATGACTAGAATCATGTAGTATAATTAAGGTATATTATAATTTAATGCCAATTTCTTTTAAAAAAAAAATTAAGAGCATATATGGAACGCAATTCATGCAGTCCAGATCTGGACCTTTGTGAGGTATAATCCAGAACATAATTATAGCCTCAGTCATTGCAATGTAGTTGATAGATCTATATGTCTTGAGTTATTTTATTGAATTTGGTTTGCCCATTCTTTAGACTTTTGGCCCGTCATAAAAATCAAATCCAGCTAGGCCATTAAGGAAAAGTTTCAGACCCCCCCCCCCCCCCCCCCCCCCCGCATATAATTGGCCCCCACTAGATGGGGTATGGATGGGGAGGGTAAAATTTAACACAATATGTAACTTACATTCATGAGCCTTCTGATGTCTAAAGTACTTTTGATTCATATTTGAGAATATAACTAATCTTTTTTTTTTAATTGCTGCAAAGCTGGACTACCCTCTCAATACAAAACTCAAAAGAAGACCAGTTGCTTACATGTTTAGGCTTCTGCCTAGCCTATAATCTAGGCGGAGTGCCGAGCTTTTTTCTTTGCTGCTAGACTAACCCTAAGCAGAACGTCTGATACGGCGAGACTACGAACCGTGAGTCGCGAAGCGGCTCACGGTTCGTAGTCTCGCCGTATCAGACGTTCTGCTTAAGGCTAGTCTAGCAGCAAAGAAAAAAGCTCGGCACTCCGCCTAGATTATAGGCTAGCTTCTGCCCTGTCTACTGCAATCTCAGCGAAACAACCGTCGATATCACACATAGGTGCATTACTATCATGGCTGTGTATTACACGTAGTGCAGTGCTACGCATTAGCATTGACTCTCTATGCTTTGCTGGAGTGGTCGATATATCAGAGACTGAAGCTTTCGGTCTACCATCTAGATCTTGAAGGGCCAAGACCTCTAGCAGTGAAAAAAATACAGGGGGGCTCAGGGCGATTTAGCCCCCGAAATGCCCAAAAGAGCCCCCGAAAATCAGAAAAGAGCCCCATAAATTTCCATAGAGTTCAATGCAAAACAAATTTTAAAATGTTATTTTCATGCAGGCAAGCTTGAAAAATAGCCCCCAAAAAATAAACATTAATTTTTTCCCTGACCTCTAGTACATGTAGGAGTTTAGGGTTAGGTAGGCAACTTAAGGTAAATTTGTCCCCAGGTCTGAGTTAGCCCTGATCGATCCTACTAACATATTCAAACAGTAGCTAGTATAGATCTAGGTCTAGACTTAGTAGAAATGAAGTAGAAATCTAGAAATCTGTAGGCCTAACTTTGTTAGGCCCTAGAGATTTCTAGATTTAAATGAGGTGTCATATGAAAGAGCAGATTCCAAAGAGGTGTCATTTCAGATTTCTTAAAATATAGATCTATTGGTCAAAACAGAGATTTAAATGTTGTTTCCATGGTAACTCTGAGATTTCCCAAATTTGAGAATCGACCCCCCGAGGGATAGTTCATTCAAGTTGTACGGAATAGGTCTAGCCTAAACTATGTTGATGTTATGCTCCTGGGTACAAGATCGTAATTGAACGGGATGAAATGCTAAAAAGACATCAGACCAGTGTGGTGAGGAGGTCTATAGACTACCTCCATATCTGATATAGATCTAGAAGTCTAACTAGTTAGGCCTAGACTATTGCACGATTTAAGTTTGAAAATACCCTTCCCCTACTTTTTGCATAGGTCTAGTCGCCTAATGCCTGGCTTAGTAATGCAGCTGTTGAGCAAAATTGTAACTGGGCATGTAGACTAGGCCTAGAGTCTAGACCTAGAGACATAGAGTCTAGGCCCCTAGGCCTAGACTCTACCACTTTTTTGTCCATTCTGGACATTCTGGACAAAAATTGGATGAATATTGCCTAGATTTCGGGGGACCGTATCTTAAGTTTTGATAGTGACACGTCCCAGTGAGTCTTGAAATTTGAAATGTGTTCTAAGTTCTAACTGAGTAGATCTAGATCTAGATCTAGATTTCTAGACCTAGATCTAGTCCTAGATGATAGATCAAGATCTAGGCCTAGACTAGATCTAGGGCCTATTTGATATTTTCAATTAGGTCTAGATTCTAGACTAGCCTAGGGTCCATTCAAACTGAGTCTAGGTGTTACACAACCATAACATATTAGCAGAGACGCCAAGGTAAAAGATCGGCAATGCGTGACATTTTCATTTTTCGGCGCGCAAGCGCGCGTGCGTGCGTGCGAGGGTATAACGCACGTATAGGTATGCCGTTTTTTTAAAAATCTAGCGCGCGCACCGTGCGTGAGAGCCCTCTTCAGACCCTCCAAATGCGTGACGTCACGTCTAATGCGTGACACTTGGTAGCTCTGTATTAGCCTAATGCCAATGGTGAAAAACGATACAAAAAGGAAAATTGAAAAATCGTTCAGACACCGTAATACTAGTCTAGAGTCTACTAAAGTACTATCACGCACCCGATGTTGTGTGCTAAAATTCTTCCCATAGAGATTGCACGCATCCCTATGCAGTCAACGTGCATTGCGCGACCATGCAAAATTGGTCAATTTTTTTTCTTTTCAAATCAAGATTCAAACCTTTATTCTTTGTGATCCTGAAGGCGATACTCAATAAATGAGGTGTTATATGAAAGAGCAGGTGAATCCCCATATTTCCAAAGGGGCTGCATCTCGGAATTCTGAAAATATCTTGGTCAAAACAGCGGTTTAAACATGGTGTCCTGGCTAACTCTGGCTAGACTATGCAGCCCCGATCGATAACGTAGTCCTCAGGGAATAATTTTCCTCAAATTTTTTGATTAGCAATTTCAGCCGATGGATAAATATTTCAAATGAAATTCTGTACATTTCTATGGAAGAAAACTGCTACACAAAAGATATTTTGTATAGCAGTCATGCAAAAATGCATAGCAAATTGCGATGCGATACCAGGAAAATTATTCCCTGGTCCTAGACCTAAGGAATATATCTAGACCCCTAGATATACCCCTAGGCCTAGGCTAGCCTATGCGCTTATTTTTTCGCTAGCCCCCCGGGATCACAAAGCCAAGGATTAGGCCTAGATCTAGGCCTACAGTTTAAAAATACCCAAGAGTAAAGGACCCGGTTTTCGGCCACTTAAGACAAAATCCTATTTATTGGACTCTTTACTTCCTATTTATTATCATTTCTTGTTCAAATCATGAAGCAAATATTATTATTATTTAAACAAAAAAAGAATCCCAGAAAAAAATCACGAATTGCCATGACAATATTCATTTCAATTTTCACTGTTTTGGAGCCAGTTATCGGCCGAGCGTTTCAGTTTACGGCCGCATGTACAAAGTCAATAGGAAGCGCTCGCGCGCGCCGTGCGTTTCCGCGCTGATGTATAGCACAAGCGGGCGGAGCAGGTATCCCACGCCGGAGCTCCCGGCCGGGTGCTCGCCTGGCCGAAGACAGGCACAGCGGTGATCGGAAGTTGGAATCTGAATTAGACAGACATATCGTGTGTGCGTGGCGCGGCGGGGTCCGGCTGCATTGATTTAATACATGCGATGAGATACTTTTGAGCTTGCGACTAACACAAAATCGGGCTATCTACTAGAATCTAGAAATCAGGTAGATCTAGATTCTAGTAATAGACTCTAACGTTAGACCCTAGACTAGAGGCTAGATCTAGATAGACTCTAGACCCTAGATCTAGATCTAGACTGTTTAAATTTAGATTCTAGGCAAACTAGATCTAGATCTAATTAGTTAGATCTAGATCTAGGCCTAACAAGTTAGATCTAACTTAGATGTTACTGCCTGGATATGATTATGGATAACACATGGTTCATCGAGTGGTCTAGATCGAGCTGCTATATAGACCCTAGCCTAGCCTAGATCTAAATCCCCCCACCCATTTAGGGTAGGCCTAGATCTAGGCCTATTATTTGCGTAGAGACTAGAGTCTAGATCTAGATCTAACCGTTATAATGGTCCCTTTTAAGGAAATTATGGGTCAAAATCAAAATCCGTTTTGAAAATCTTTTTCAACAAGGATTTCGATTTTGACCCATAAATTCCTAAAAAGGGACTAGGCCTATACTATATAGTAGACCCTATTAAACTGATTATTTCAATCAAGTTAGTAAGTGGAACCGATGTATTATATTATAGCCTAGGCCTAGACCTAATTTACATTTGGATATGCACGAGGTAAAATGACATTTTGGGGGATTTTGGGGGCAAAACGCTACGACCTGAAATGGCCGTGGCGTTATCAAGGGAATGTACCTAGACGGTTTCCGTCTCTAATCTAAAGAGAGAGCCGGCCGACCCTACCCCAATAAGACTTAAGAGGCTAACGAACGAAAGAGACGGAAAATTCGGTCTAGTAATAGTAGGCCTATAGGCCTAACGTTAGGCTTTACCTGACATTTTGGTAACACGCATGCGGTCATTCCGACCCCGGAGTGGGGGGGGGGGATCTAGATCTAGGTCTAGAGTCTAAATCATAATGTCAATTTAGATCTAGATCTAGACTCTAGATCTACCTGCAAAGAAACGAAGTTGCTCCTCCGATATGATTGAATTTGGTCTCCCAACACACAGTGTAGAAGTTTAGGCCTAGCTACTACTATAGTAGTACTAGGCCTATACTAGATGCATACAAACAATAACTAGAGTCTATAACAATAACTAGACTAGACTAGATCTAGTCTAGATCTAGTTCTTGAGTAGATCTAGGTATAGACCTAGGTCTAGGCCTAGATATCGACTACACTATGTACAGCTCATGAGCTACACTTTCAAAATTCAAGTTAGACCCTACTTCATGACTTACAAGTTAGAAGTCTACAGCAAAGATTGTCACAATGTCAGGTCTACCGTCTAGAATAGATGTCTCCAACTGT